TAAATAGCTTTCGACCTAGCCTTAAATACGTACTATAACTTTACTATAAACCCTTCGTCCGGTTTCCTATTTTTTAACGATGGTAAATATTACCGCCTTTATATTCTATATATATGCCGTTAATAATTCCTAATAATAGCGTACGACGAACGTAGCTATATAAGAATATCTAAGATATATGCTTACTTAAGAGGCATTATCTTTATTCTATCCCTTAAACGTTTTATCGAAACCTATATAAGATCCTACTTATCCTATTAAGTATTTAAATTAAATAATATAAAACCCGTCGGAGACCTATTACTTATTATACCTCCTAAGGAACCTCTTCGCGTATTCTCCTTAGACTTTATCGTAGGATTACCTATATTAAAAAGCGGCTACGACGCTATCCTCGTTATCGTCGATAAACTCTTAAAATTTAAGAAGACCTTATACGGGAAAACGATAGATACGGTAAAGGACTAGGCTATTCTATATTTTAAATACGTTTATCCCGACTAATAGTTACCGGAGGCCTTTATTTTAGATATAGATATTAAATTTATATCCTAATTTTAACGATCCCTTTATTAAGTAATTAAGATCGACGTACGACTTATATCTACTTATTATTCTTTTATAAACGGTTAAGTTAAGGTAATAATAAAAGCTATTAAAATGGCGTTACGGATATTCCTAGGCGCTTTATTTAATTAGTTATACTAGCTAGAACTTTTGCCGTATATAATCGCCGTATTAAACTCGTTTAGATACGAAACTACCCTTATATTACTATTCTAGGTCCTATATAGTATAGAACTACGATAGCTAGTCGTTAACCTTAACCTAACTAATAATTTCCTATAAGCCTAAGATTAATATCGCAAGGATACCTTCGACGCTATAAACCTAGTAGAATTAAGGATAAAATTACTTTACGACTCCTACTATATTAAGCTTAATAACTTAGGATAATAGGTATACGTTCGCCTAATAAAGCTAGGATAGAGAGGATATTACCTTAATAACTAAATAAAGCTCTCCTTTAAGAACGTCGGCCCGTTTAAGGTAATCGAAAAGATATCCTTATACCGATATAAACTCGATTTACTACCTTAGCTTTAATAATACCTAACTATAAATATATCTTATCTTCGGAAAGTAATCCTAGACCTATACGATAGGCCTTAATTAATACTAGGACCTATTAAATATAATATATATATTATTAATAAGATAATAAACGAACGAATCTAAGTAGAAAGATAAGAATTATTCGTTAAATAGATGGAATACGGAGAACCTATATAGGAATTAAGATAAACGATTTAATAGGATATATTATATCTTATCGATGCCTTCGATAAGAATAAGCTATAACGACTATGAAGGCTACTAGGAGCTAGTTAACCTAGGGGCCGGGGATATCGCTTTATCCTTATTTACCTACCCCTTGTTTACCTTAGTTAGAACTAAGTTAGTAAGTAGGAATGAGAGACTAAGATTAAGAGAAGGATAACGTAGTTATACCTAGTTATTAGAGCTTTTAGCTTTACGAATAGTAGCTTAAAACCTAGAAGAATCAAGCTTTTTCCACTGAGTTTTATCTGTCTAAATCGTAAGCCGTAATAGTGCGTTATCAGTATTACTACCTACACGTATGTACCTCGGGTACCTTAGGTACTTACCATATAGGGAGGGGGGGGTCTATGGATAGTATGTTAGCAATAGAGTCGGGGTACGGATACGGTAACTAAATCTGGTAAGGATTACCTTAACTAGTTATTCTTTCGAAAGAGCTAAAAGAATTATAGCAAGGGTCGCGGTACCGACCTTATTACCTTCCCTTCTTATAATTTTAGGATGGTTTTTATGACTGCGTAGAAACCAATGTCCAGACGGATATAATGTCTATATATTCCATAAGTACCTACCTACCTACCTACCTACCTAGACCTACCTACCTAGACCTACCTACCTAGACCTACCTACCTAGACCTACCTACCTAGACCTACCTACCTAGACCTGTTGTCTTCATCTTTTTTCTATAAACACCATGATCTACTACCCATCTTCGAACCTATCTACGAACCTATCTTCGAACCTATCTGCGAACCTATCTACGAACCTGTGAGAGCCAGTTCGCACGTAGAATCTATCTATCTTCGAACCTATTTACGAACCTATCTGCGAACCTATCTACGAACCTATCTGCGAACCTATCTACGAACCTATCTGCGAACCTATCTACGAACCTATCTGCGAACCTATCTACGAACCTATCTACGAACCTATAGGAGCTAGTTCGCGTGTGGAATTTATCTATCTTCGAACCTATCTTCGAACCTATGAGAGCTAGTTTAGGCGTGTGGAATCTATCTATCTATTTACGAACCTATCTTAGAACCTATGGGAGCTAGTTCAGGCGTGTGGAATCTATCTATCTATCTGCGAACCTATCTTAGAACCTATGGGAGCTAGTTCAGGCGTGTAGAATCTATCTATCTTCGAACCTGTAGGAGCTAGTTCAGGCGTGTGGAATCTATCTATCTATCTACGAACCTATCTTAGAACCTATGGGAGCTAGTTTAGGCGTGTGGAATCTATCTATCTTCGAACCTGTAGGAGCTAGTTTAGGCGCGTGGAATCTATCTATCTTCGAACCTATCTACGAACCTATCTGCGAACCTATAGGAGCCAGTTCGCGCGTAGAATCTATCTATCTTCGAACCTATCTACGAACCTATAGGAGCTAGTTCGGGTACGTGGAATCTATCTATCTATCTACGAACCTATCTGCGAACCTATAGAAGCCAGTTCGCGCGTAGAATCTATCTATCTTCGAACCTATAGGAGCTAGTTTGCGTACGTGGAATCTATCTATCTACGAACCTATCTACGAACCTATCTACGAACCTATCTACGAACCTATGGGAGCTAGTTCGCGCGCGTAGAATCTATCTATCTTCGAACCTATGGAAGAGAGGTAGGAGGTAGGTAACAGACGTAAAAGATACAAAGGTACAAAGGTACGTACTTAGTAACCTAGAGGTAACCGGGTAATCCTATGGAATGTACCTTTTTTTAAAATAAAGACATTATGTCCGGATGGTAACTATGTCGGGAAATGGTAATAATGTTAGCCTAGAGTTTAACTCCTTCTTATCACGAGGCAGACACTATGTCCAGTCATAGAAAGGGTTGCTGACATAGTGTCAATAGACCCCCCCCTCCCTGTATGGTAGGTATCGTACCTGATCTCGTCATACATCCAGTGGACATGTACCTAAGTATCCAGGTACCTATACGTGTATACGGTATAACTCCTACTGGCCTTGCGAGCGGACCCGCGGTCTGGGTCGGCCATGGAACCAACCTTACCATCGTGAGTTGTTAGCCCACGTCTTGTCGTCACTACACCACGGATGTTTATACATTAGACACCTTGGGTACCCTGGTGTAAGGGGTGCCCTGGGCACCTAGGGTCCATGCTGATAAAGGTAGGTTCCAATATGAGATGGAGGTTAATTTGGGTCCTTGACACCCAAATGTTCATCTCTACCCTTCTCCCCCCCCGGTCCCCCCTCCACGGTATCCCCGCAGCGAGGGACGCAAAAGCTACCTGCTATTTGAGTACTGTTTTCCGCTTCCGGCACTCTCGCATATTTTCATTCGGTCTCGATTCAGATCGTTGACGTTACTTTGCATGGTGCTCTAGACCGCCGGCATATTTTCAGGCCTCGGGCCTGGGTTATTGCTTGCTAGGTATATGTAGCCTCTATAAGGCACCGTACCCGACATATCGGGTGGATGCGTCTAAAATTAGCAACGAAGGCAAGGTACCGAACATACGAGCATCTGACCGGGTCAAGAAGAGTCGAGACAGGACACGCCCCTCCCGGAGGTGCCTAGGTAGGTTACCTAGGTAGGTAGGTAGGTAGGTAGGTATCTCGCCTTCATTGTCTTGCGACAGCGAGAGAGAGAGAGAGAGAGGAACAGAGAGAGAGGGACGAAAGTACTCGGGGTAAGCTGGAATCAACCTCTCTCTCTCTCTCTCTCTACCTACCTACCTATCTTTCTCTCTTCCTCGGGTTCGTAGGTACCTACACGAGGCAGTTTACACACCACTTTTCCTGATAGATCCATGACGTAATCAGCATTGGCATCTCCAAATCGGCAAAGACGGCCAGGCGCGAGCCCTCACAATGGAACTATCAACCTGCCTTCGACGCTCCTCTCCCAGCGCTGCCGCTGCTGACCAGGTCGTAATCTACACGATACATACCTAACTCGTCCCCGTCGGACCGCCTACGTCCCGTCCTCCCCGTGTCGTCCTAACTATCACCATCCCCTGTTACCTCCCTGGGAAAGGGCCCGGTCGAATCGCCACTGGAATGCACCTGATCTCTCCAATATCCCTGCGTACCTAGTAGGAGGTGCTCGGCGACGGCACGAGGCTTTCGTCGACCAGCCGCCGCGTAAGAAGAGCGAGGGGGGGAAGGGAAGAGGGGGAGAGAAGAAGGAAGAAAGAAGACATGATCCCGGCTCTACCTGACGTCGCGCCACCCCGCCACGATACAAATAACCTAGGTACCTAACCTATAGGTACTATGACGACGACAACCACAACAACCACAACAACTACTACTACCTACCTCTCCGTGTATATCCTTACCTGCCTTATACAACGACGCATCATCATCCGTCCATCCATCCGTTTCAGACATATCCTACCAACGCGCGCCGTTCGTCTGACCTCAACACTCACCTACACACAGGTCGGCTAATCACATCCAGGGTTGCTGTTATACATACACCTACATACCTACATATTACACCTAAGCCACCTCGCCCCCCCCACCAACCCTCCCCAAGTCGACGGTGTTGATCACCGCGAGATACTAGGCAGGTCTATAGGACGATCACATTCCACTATCCCGCATCGCACCGCATCCGCCTATCCCCGCCCGCTGCTGGCTGCAACGCAGCGCTCTCTATCTTCTGCCACATAGGTAATATGGCCACGGTTGATGAGGCCCACGAGAGTCGGCGCCGACAGCTACCCGATGACGACACCAAGCCTACAGGTAAGATTACGTCGCGAATCATCTTCGTCCTTCGCCCGAGATATTAATCGTCTCGTTTCCCGCCCCGGACATGGAACAGGCTAATTCCCTTGGTCAGTCCACTCGGGCAAACTTGTTTACGCCAAACCTCGCGATCTCCCGAGCTTCCCGTCTATTGGCCTCACGGAAAAAGGATCTGCAGCCAGTGCAGCAGCAGCTTTGGGCTGGGCCTCCAACGCGTTGCCCGAGCTCTCCAAGTCGGACAGATCTGCGCCAGCTTCGGCTGCAGCTGTCATGACCAAATACCAAAAAGTAGGCCCTACCTCCGAACCCAAGACTGGACAGCGCGAGAACAAAGCTGCGCTCGTCGCGTCGCAGTCTGCGATGAGTACCAATACTGGAAGGCCTCCCTCCGTCACCCACGTCCCTCCCAGCCACTCGGCCGCAGGCGCGGCTCTCATATCTACTCGCGATGCGCCGCCGGCTAGTCCCCACACAAGCGCGCTGGGACGCCGGGGGTCGCTGCTTGCTGCCAAAGGCGCCATGGCTAATCGCCAGAGAGCCAAGTCAACCCCCGTCCCGAGGGAATCGTATCCGGACGAGGCAAACGCTGCCGCTAATGCTCTGAGCGCCGCGACCCGAGCCCACAGACCAGCGCGATCACTGACAATAAGCGGCGCAAGCGAGAGGCCCAGCACTATTCCCTATACGACCATGCACAGGGACATGTTCACGTCGCGGCCTCCGGTTCAAGCGGAAGTTGACGAGCAGAAGAAAGCCGATGTGTTACACGCGTCGGCTGTCGCGATGGCCAAGAAAATGTACACCCAGCAGCAGAAGATGATCGATGCTAAGAAGTCGCATGACAATGCGGCCCCTCTTCATGACCAGGCCGATGTCCTCACTAGTGTTAGCGACGATACGCAGCCCGCGCATCTGACAAGCCTGCAAGACGCAGCTTACAAACAGGCACAAGCGCGCCTCGCCAGAATACACGAAGAGCACATCAAAGCCCGGGACTTCCAGGAGCATTACGGGGCTAGGCAGCTTACGCGACACTTCTCGATTAGGGGTAAATTCAGGAGACGATCGTCTAGTGACGGTGACATCATCGAAGATCGTAGGCGATCCCAGCACATCAGACAACAAATGTCCCTGTTCTCGAACAAGGTCTCGGAGGTGGACGAGAGGAAGCGCCAACAGGATCGGGATGCTCTGCTTGCTGCTGCCCAAAGGAACGTCCACGAACGACTGAAGGGAATAGACGAGAAGATTGCCGCGGAAACCGGGATGATGCCTCCGTCGACTCTCACACAGTGGGAGCTGAAGGCGCTTGCCGCTGCCCAAGCTCGAGGCGATCAACGTGCCGAGCACAGGGGCCAAGTTGACATAGGTGCCGGGAAGTTCATGGACCAGGAGGACATTGACGCCATCGCTGCGGCTAGGGTTCAGCCCGTGTTAGACGAGATCGAAAAGAAGGTAGAGGAGGAGCACGCGAGGCAAACAGAGTTACGCTTGCAGGCGGAGAGAAAGAAAGAGGAGGATGCGATTGAGAAGGCCCGCCAGAAGGAAATTCAAGACATAAACAAGAAGCTTAAAGGTCGGTTCTTCATGCCAGGCATTGGCAACTGCCGTTTGCTAACGCACGTCGTAGAGCGGGAAAAGTCGCAGCAGAGAAAGAGGAAAGCCGAGGAGAAGCACGAGGCTAAGGCTAGGAGGGAAGAAGAGAGAACAGCCAAGGCCGAGCAAAGGCGGTTAGCCAAGACCGAGAAGCGCAAATCTGCAGCTGATCTAGCTGACGGGAGCCATCGGCAGCCAGAGGCAATGGGGGGTACGATCGCTTTAAATACCGGGGGGCAGCCAATCAGCATCCCACCTCCGGACCCCGACGCCACCACAGATGCTACCGGAGCAGCCGAGGCCAGATCGTCGGATAGGCAACCTGGATTGCCCGGCGAAAATTCGTCGAGGGGTGGAGTAAAGAGCTGGTTTAAGAACCGGTTTTCTCGGGGATCGAAAGCTTGGGAGGAGGAGGAGGAGGAGGGGTCCAACGACAACCCCCCCAGGAGCTTTATCGGCGGCGCGGCTCTAACGGGCATGGAAAGGCCTGACAGCGTAACCAGTTCCAGCGTCCGAGCTGTCGCCATGGCTGGCCGGCGGCAGACTGCCGGGAGGAGCATTCTCGGGGAAGAACGCTCGCTTTCCGGGGAAACGACGAGCAGCTCGAGCGACGGCAGGGAGCCGCACGGCGAGGCTTCTTCGCGGGATCTGCCCCGGACCGCTCTAACGCTCCCGAGGCCGACCAAGGATCCGTCGTCGGCCGCGATGAGCGGCAGCCCCGGGAGGGATTCGAGGTTTCACGAGATGGTGTAAGCTAGGGCGGTATTCCGAGGGCTGGCTGGCCGCCTAACGAACGGGCTCGCATGTTCGATACTCTCTTTTTTAACGGTTCTCTCTTCGAGGTCACGACCAAGGTTTTCCCGGGCGTTACGAGGTCCTGAGGTGACGAGAAGACGACTGCTGTTGGGAGGAGGGGGGGGGGGGGCAAGTTCACGGGGTATTTTCATTGGCTCGAACAGATCTGTGTTGTGTTGTATGTAGGTCCGGAGTCTAGGTCTCGCCGCGCCTTTGGTGGGAGATATTTGACGTTTTCACAGTTGGAAGCTCGAAGCATGTTGCGCCTGCGAAGGAGGATACACCACCGCAGCTACGAGGACGGCGGAAATACACGAAATGTAAACTTTGAGATCGAAAACGGTCCCTCGAGCTTTGCGCGACCGGCGCAGAACATGTGGTATGTTCGGGGCATATAGGCCTATACGCTAGGATGTCAACGATATTTTCTTCCAATCCTAGCCTATTGCCGTGACTCTTCTCCTTCTCCGTTTTCTATTATGATAAATACGGTATTGGGAAAAGGGGGGAGGAAGTAGCCAAGCCCACCCAAGTTGAACGTGCCAAACGCCACCACACCAGGGTATATATATTATAAAGCTCCCGTTCCCTCAAATGAACTACGCGCGCCAACTGCCAATATCGTCGCCGTCTCCGTTCTGGTTGCTGTATATGAGATCTAGCATTCCTTCTCGCCGGTTGGTATCGTAAGTAACATGCGCCTGTCCCTCGCCCAAACCCATTCTCCGTGCGCTCGATTCGCAGATTCGTCCTCGCTTGCCTTCCTGGCGTTCGTCCTCATGCATCAGATTCCTCATTAGCTACCGCCGCCTCGTCCGTGAGGGCCCGCGTCTTCCCCTTCTGCCGCCCCATCTCATTTAGAAGTCGGCGTGGCCTCTCCTCATCATCTTCTGGAGGTTGGCAGCAGCGTCCTCCTTGCTCTGGCCGTTCGCGGCGAGCGTCCTCTGGCCGTCCTGGGTATCGCTCGGCGGCGGCGGCTGGTGGTGATGGTGGTGATGCGGCTGAGGCACGGTCGGGTGCGTGGCGTAGTAGATCTCGTCTATCTCGCGCTGCTGGGCGTGCGCGGAGGAGCCGAAGGAGCCGAAGGAATGCCGGTCGTGGTGGCGGTCGTTGGCGGCGTTGCGCGTGGCGACGGCGGGGTACAGGTCGATGACAAAGGAGAAGACGTAGAAGGTGAAAACGAAGGCGACGACCCACTCCAGGGCGGCCGCGGTGTCCTTGTGACCCCGGAAGTTGGACACGGCGAAGGCGACGGCGAGGGCTAGCTCGACGATGACGAAAACCAGCTTAACCCAGAAGGATATGCGCAGCAGCGGGTGCTCCCGGTGTTCTAGGGAAAATCAATACGTTAGCGAGCGAGTCTGTACCGAGATGGGTAGACAGGGAACTCGGCAGGCAGGCAGGCAGGCACTACTCACTCTTGCCCAGACGCTGGTACTCCCAACAGATAAAGATAGCGGAGAGCAGATACCCAGCGATGAAGAGGAGGAGGAAGATGTTGTGGAGGTCCTGGTAGCGAAGGGTGTCAAAGCCAGAGAGGCAGGTAAGGCCGATGGTGCCGATGATGGCGAAGACGATGGCGAGAGAGCCAAGGACCTTCTCGCCGGGGGAGGTGTTGGGCACGAGACGGCCGCGGTGGCGGAGCAGACGGTCGGAGACGAAAGAGAGGTCGAGAAAGAGGGCGGTGATGATGCAACCGGTAACGAACAGCGGCTTGAGCTCGGAGGCGCCGATGTCCGAGATGTAGGCGAAGGTCTGGCCGTCCTGCATCGACGCGTATATCACCCGGTCGGTGTTTACGACCCAGTACAGCAGTAGACCCAGGAGCGTCGCGAGCCACATGAGGCCGGATACTACGGGAAATACCTACGGATGCCAATAGCCTAGTGTCAGCTCCGACCCGGGTACAATATTTAGGCACGTGTTCGCGCATAGCGTGGGTTACTCGAATCGGATCGAGGGACAACTCAGGATTCACTTACCCAATATGATAGGGACCGCATGGCGGATGTTGGGGAATTACCGTGTTCCTATCCTCTAAAGATGATGACGATATAACAATAATATCTATTGGTTCTATAAAAGACGGGAGGGCTCGGCAGAGCTAAAAGGGAGAGAGGGCAGAAATCTAAACCGACACAGCTACCCGACTACGCAGGTATATAGGTATGTAGACAGAACCCAGGAGTACGACGAATGGCTGCTGCTGCGCCGAGTTTTGCGCGTAAGACGAGAGTCGGGTGATAGAATCGATTGGGTCTAAGACGAGAAGCTAAGAGCCCCTCCCGAAATGAAGGTGTAAGGAAAAAGGAAAAGAGAGAAGAACAAGAAAGGATTGTTCAAAATAGATTATGCGTGTCGCCGATCGATGTGGTGATGACGACGATGACGGTGAGGGTATATCGTCTACTGGTATTGGTAGTGTGAGTTGGCGGTGGCCAGGAGGAGGAGGAGGAGGAAGAGGAAGAAAAGACGAGGGCGGCTCAAAGCAGATGAAATCTATCGGACGACCACGGCCATTGAAAGTGAGGAAAAAGAGAATCGAAAAAGACAACCGATGGACAGACAGACTTATGACTTCATGACAGCCAAGACCATCTCTCGGGCTGCACGGTCGTCGCTATTCCCCGTACTTCCGGCACCCCCTGGAGAGGCTGACGGGACGAGCGGCTGGGTCGCATCGGACTCGCAACCCCAAAGAGGGCGAGAGAGCGCGAGGAAGAGAAGAGAAGAGACGGGGACGTGATCGAATCCGTCACTGGCGCGCCGCGGCATACCTAAGCCACGACACGTACACGGGGGGTTACGCAATCGTGTAATAAGTGGCCTAATGGTGGGCGCCTGATGATGGGCCAGTTTTCTCTAGATCGACTCGGGTTAGGACGGGCGATGAAGTGTCGCTGTCGCTCTCCGCGCGATGGCCGCTTGCAACTGGTGATGGCGAGCGCCGGCGTGACGTCAATGGCGTGTTGCCTCCTGTCTTAGGTACCTAGCCTCGTACGGTCGCAGGTACTCGGTACATGGATATCTCGGATGCGCACTGCCACATGCCGACCTGCAGATGGTCCGAGGTGCCTCGTTAGGCCGGTCCAACTCAAGAGGAATAGGTACATAGGTACATACCTAGGTACCTAGTACCTGGAAATGGATCGCGTGCCTGGGGGACTTCAGGCCGTCCAGCCAATCCGCTGCCCGATTCGGATCCAATTCGATGGATGTTACTTTACCTGCCCGGGTGCCTGCTAGGAGCTACCTAGTAGGTATCTTCGATACCTAAGTACCTAGGTATGTACTTTCATCTCTGTCTGCTTCGTACCTCCTAACCAACCTACCTACCTACCTGCCTACCGACCTGCCTACCTACAACCACCATTGCCATCACAGCCGCTGAACAGGGGTCTTTTCTTCTTATTCAATCCCCAGACAACCTGTCTCCCCCCCCCTCTCCCGCCCCAATTGAACGGCGACAAGGTTGAGGAGCAAAGGGGCACGGGCGAGAGGCGACAATGGCGGTGTCTCCCGTCGTCACGCATCCGGCCGATGCCCTCCAGAACCCGCGAGCCGTGTCGTCGCCGCTCAAGAACGCCAGCTCCGCCCAGGCCTCTACCAATGGGACGCCCACGACTGTGCCGGCTACTTCCGCAGCCACCTTGCCGACCTCCCTGGACCTGGCCGAGCAACTCAACGAGGACGAAAAGCGCAAATACGTCAAGGGTTAGCAGGCTCTCCCCGCTGTCCGTCCACCCGACCAGAAAGGAGCGCGCTGACCGACTCGTGTAGGGAAGAAGCTCGGCGAGGGTACCTATGCTAACGTCTACCTGGGATTTCTCAAGAGCGACCCGTCGAAAGCTGTCGCCATCAAGAAGATCAAGGTGCAGAAGGAGTACACCGAGGGAATGGCCCCCGATGCCGTCCGCGAAATCAAACACCTGCAGGAGCTATCCCACCCCAACATCATCACCCTGCACTCCGTCTTCTCCTCCAAAGACCAGAATCTCAACCTCGTCCTCGAGTATCTCCCCCTGGGCGACCTGGAGATGCTCATCCGCGACACGGACAGCGTCCGGTACGGCGCGGCCGATATCAAGGCGTGGATGGGCATGCTCACCAGGGCCGTCTGGTTCTGCCACGAGAACTTTGTGCTGCACCGCGACATCAAGCCCAATAACTTGCTTATCGCCGCCGACCGCGAGGTCAAGCTCGCCGATTTCGGTCTGGCCCGGAGCTTCTCCGATCCCTACAAGCCCATGACGTCCAACGTCATCACGCGATGGTATCGCCCTCCCGAGCTGCTGTTCGGCGCCAAGCACTACTCGGGCGCCGTCGACGTCTGGTCCGTCGGCCTGGTTTTCGCCGAGCTGGTCATAAGAACGCCCTACATCGCCGGGAACACCGAGATGCACCAGATCCAGCTCATCTGCCAGGCCGTCGGCACCCCCACCGAGGAGAACTGGCCCGGCGTCACCAAGCTGCCCGAGTACACCGTCGACAAGGAGGTCCACCCGGTCCGGGGACGCGACCACTACATGTCCATGTTCGGCACCGTCGGATACGAGGGCGTCGACCTCCTGATGAAGACGCTGACGCTCGACCCTAAGAAGCGCATTACGGCCCGGGACATGTTGAAGCACGAGTGGTGGCACAAGGACCCGAAACCCACGCGCAAGCAAGACCTACCTAAGAAGTCGGGCGGCCAGGAGAAGGTCGGTGCCGACCTAAAGAGGAGACCCGGCGTTTTGGACGAGGACCGCGGTAGCAAAGTCTCGAGAAAATTAGATTTTGGGGCGGCAAAATGAGTCTTTTTTGAGGGGGCGCTCTTCTACGATGCCAGGAATGATGATGGTTTTTTTTTCTGGGACGGCGTTTAGGGGTTTGTGGTATGCCAAGGGCGTAACAGGCTACCCCATTCATCGGTCCACGAGCCACAAGGTATATAACTAAAATCGGAGTGAATACCAATGTTTTATTTTCGTTTACCTCTTCTTCCAACGCGCTATTGCGATGTGCGCTGAACGGGTGAGTGGATATAGTACATGATAAAGAGAAAAACTGAGCGGGCGGCATATGATTAGGGAGCCCGTCTCGGCTGCTTTCTTTCCTCTCCCGCGATCCGTCATCTGCGTCGCCTCGCAATTCATGGCCCACCTGCTCCGGCTCCTACTGCGGCAGCTCGCCGCGCTCGCGCGCCTCCCGGCGCTCGGCGACGCGGCGCTTGTAGCGGATCTCGGTGCGACGACGCTCACCACCGTCGACCTTGTGGCCGCGCTTGTCCTCCCACATGCCCTCGGTGATGGTGACGACGGCGCCGCCGCCGTGCTTGAGGGGTTTGGCGTAGTGGCCGACGATCTTATTGCCGTCCCTGACCTGGTAGCCGCAGACGCGGCTGAGCAGGTCGGGGGGGCAGGTGTCGGCGTTCTGGTCGAAGGGGACGTTGACGACGTACTTGCGGGGGCGGAACGAGACGGCGGCGGCGGCGGTCTCGGGGGAGTCGGGGTCAGCGCCGCGGGGGGGCGCGATGATCTCGGCGATCTGGAGCATGGCCTTGCCGTCGCGGACGTGCACGAGGTCGCCGCCGGGACCGTACAGGCCCTTGAGGAAGCGCCGCCGCCACTGCAGCAGGTAGCGCCGGGTGCGCGGCGGCTCGATGCCGAGCTCGGCCAGGTCCACCGACGTCAGTGTGAAGAGCGAGTCCCAGGTCGGGAACTTGGCCGCGTGCTTGACCAGGTCCCGCCCGATGAGCGTCAGGAACGTCTGCACGTCGGGCACGAACGGCGTCGGCGGCGGGATCACCGGCTTCTTGTCCTTGCCCCTAGGCGTGTGCTGGGTCGCTGCCGAGGCGGAGGACGATGAGAAGAAGGCGGCTCGCGCCGAGGGCGAGGGCGCGGAGGCGGTGGTCGTTGGTGGGGAGAGGGCGAAGGGCGCGCGGAGGGAGGGAGCCGTCGGCGGGACTAGGGCGGCGCGGAGGTGCTGGGGGCGGAGCGGGAGGAGCTGTAGACATGACGCGAATGATACGAATTATTGAGCTAGGAGGTACGGCGTATAGTACGGAGAAGCGCATGCGCGTAGCGGGCACGAGGGAGGCCATTGGGGCGGGATGGGTATCGTACCTTGATACGTGCCATAGCGGCGGGCGTCCTAGAGGGGAGGGAAGCGAGCGTGAGAGGGCAGTAGAGGGGGGGGAGGGGGGGGCGCTCGCTCCCGGGCTGGGCTGATTACCGAACTGAGTCGCAAAATATCTTCAAACCGGTGGCTGTCCCGTGATCCGATTCCATCCCGACTTGATCAATTCCGCATGGTGGGGCCGTTTAATGGGTGGAGAGGTAAGAGAGAGAAGGAAAAAAAAAAGTCTCCAGTGGATTGTACATACACTATAGTGTCTTATCGCAAAGCTGTGGCTAAGGTACATACCTTTTATCTAGGTATCTCTGTAAGAGGTATCTGCCTATCAATACCAGAGCAGGTCTAAATGAGCCAATCCGCGTGTAATTTCAAATAAAGAAAACTCTACAATTTAATAAGATCTCACATATTATAATTATTCTTCAAATAAGATAAGGGTTAGGTGATTAGGTATTTTATATATTCTATAAGTTCTACCTAGTTATATGTAATATAACGGGTATCCACGTATCGTGTACATCGGTACTAACCGGAGATGTGCTTATGAAGTGGGTACTTGACGTACCTTAGATTACACGCAAGGTATCTACTTTAGGTAGCTAAATAGGGGGGTAGGTACCTATGAGTCAAAACTACAGGGAGGTAGTGGAGAATGCCCTCTTCTATAAAAGTACCTAAGGCCAGTAACAGTCTGGGGCACCTCGCCCTCTGTGCCCTGCGTCTAATAAGACGCGTCGAATCGCGGGGAGTTGGCTTGTCTATCTGATCTGCCCAGACACCTGCCTAGACACCTCACTAGAGAGGCGCTGAATTGACTGCCCCTCATGGCACACCGTTTGCCCTCCTCGATCAGTGGACGAGCATAGCTTCTCTCTGCCTTCCAGCCTAATTTCATCATCGCCTTGGGCCGTTGCATTTACGCGCACCGTTTCCGCCTCCTCTCGACCCAGCATTCCCCTCCCGTATCCCTTCGTGCATCCTGTTTCCAACACCTTTTTCTTCTATCGCCGCTGCAAGTCATCTCCCGTCCATCCGATCGATCGTCCGACGTCCACGGACACTCAAGAACGGTGCCTACCCACGGCTCCCCAAGCTACGGCATCGCTTATAGTTTGGTGTATCCGCCATCACCATGGGCCGTCCCGGTGCCACGAAGGTCTCACGTCCAAAAGGACCTATCCAAGCCAGGCAGGTCCAGTCAAAAGGTAACATCCCCGTCAAGCGAGAAGCATTTGCGGTCAACAATGGTACTGATGAGCTTAGACCCCTTCCCTCAAGACTTCCTCGGCTTTCTGCATGCCCTCCCATCCGACCCCCCACGCCACGACGAGGCCGACCATCCCGTCGAACCGCCGAAGAAGCGGGCCCGGGTGGAAAGCATCAGGCCGATTCCCGTCGCACGAGAGTCCATCACGGTGAAGCGGCCGGCCCAGTCTGGAATACTGCTTACGGCACCGACGTTGCGCAAGAACGTCAACCGCCACATGAAGCTCCGATACGATGAGGCATCGCACACGCTGGCCGTCTCTTCGAATAGCCGGTTGCCCTGTGGCGCCTTCAGGTCCAATTTGGCCCTAGGCAGCCCCAGACTCGCAGAGAGCACACTAGTCGTGCTTGCTGTGCTAAACCGAAGTCGCGATGCGGATGACGAGGAGGGCTCGCTGTGGGTGAACGTCACCATCAGTCTAGAGAATAAGGACAAGAAGGATCAGATGCAATTCACCTTCGAATTGAATTGGAACCCCTCAGTATATTCCTTGCGACGCCCACCCCAGCGAGCCCTCAGCAAGCAGGTCTTGGACACCTTCTTCGAGAGCGAAAAGCAGGGACTTGACGAGTTCGGGACAGAGTTGTCACCCCGGGCCTTCTACGACGCTTCATTCGCCCCACCGCAGGATCACACTGGTTTCTCCTCTCTCTCGGTTCCCAAGTTGACCTCGAGACTGTATCCCTTCCAAATCAGAGCCCTACAATGGCTCTTGAAAAGGGAGGGGGTCCAGTGGAAAGACCGATGCGCAGATGGAACCCCCGGTCTAGAGCCATTTTCCCCGCCGCTCGCTGATCAACTCCCCTTGTCTTTCAGCGCCGGCAAGGACGCCGACGGAAGTCCCGTTTACGTCAGCGACCTCTATCATGCTGTCACTAGAGATCCGAGCCCGTTTTCCAAGGCCGAGAGCGCTCTCAGAGGCGGAATCCTTGCCGAGGAAATGGGCTTGGGCAAGACGGTCGAGACAATTTCTCTTATCTGCACGCATAAGCGTAGAAGCCTATCGAGGTCGGACGATGACATCGTCGCCTCGGGGCTGCGTCCTAGCGGCGCAACCTTGATCGTCACCCCGGCCACGCTACAGGATCAGTGGGCTTCTGAGCTCTGCAAGCATGCGCCGCACCTCAAGGCGATGGTGTACGATGGTCTAAGGGGCTTCGTCGGAGAGGAGGACGAGCTAGTGTCTGTGATCGCAGGGCACGACGTCGTACTCACGACTTACAACATTCTTCAGGCCGAAATCCACTTCGCAGAGGAACCGCCTAGCCGCTCCATGCGCCACGAGAGAAAGTACCGGCGCCCCAAATCCCCCTTGGTCCAGATATCTTGGTGGAGGGTGTGTCTGGATGAGGCACAGCAGATCGAGAGCGGTGTAAGTGGCGCCGCGAAACTTGCGAGATTGATCCCTCGCATCAACGCTTGGGGCATCACGGGAACGCCAGTTAAGGAAAACATCAAGGATCTCTGGGGGTTGTTGCTATTTCTCCAGCACGAGCCATTCGCTTCTTCCCCGGCCGCATGGGAAGGGTTGATGACCTCTCATCAGCACTTATTCGAGCCTCTTTTCAATCGCGTCTCTCTCCGCCATACGAAGCGCGCCGTTCGGGACGAGTTGGCGCTGCCGCCGCAGAAACGATACATCATAACCGTCCCCTTCAAGGCAATTGAGGAGCAAAATTACCAGGAGCGGTTTACTGCCCTGGCAAGGCGTTGTGGTCTGGATGGGTCCGGCGTGCCCCTGGATGACCAATGGGACCCGGAGAGCCCATATAGGATAGATCAGATGAAAGACGCCCTCGCCGAGCTCAGGCAGACGATTCTGCACCCCTCGCTGGGAGTTGGCTTAGCCCTTCGTGCAGTAGAGCAGAAGAACAAGCCGCTGCGAACAATCGAGGAGGTGTTGGATGTCATGATTGAGCAGTCCGATTCATCGATCAGGGCTGACCAACGCAATTATCTAGCCAAGAAGCTAGAAAGGGGCCAGATATTGGAAGCCCAGTCCAAAGTCGAGGAGGCCATTGCGCTTTGGCAAGAGGTTTTAGACGAGGCCCGGCCAATCGAAGAGGAATGCCGCAAGCAATTGGAAACGGAGTTGGCGAGGGCTCAGCAGGCAGACCCGGACGAGGAGCCGGACGATACCGAGGGCAACAGCTCTCTGAATGACGAAGAAGCCGAGGGAGAAAATGCCCCCAAGCGAGTCAGCGAATGCCGGCGCAAACTTCGATCGATACTCGATATTCGGCACAGGGCGGTTTTCTTCATTGCCAGCGGCTATTACCAGTTGAAGTCTGATGAAGACAAGGTCGACCCCGAATCGGAAGAGTTCAAGACGCTGGAACAGAAGGAGGTCAGCGGGTACGAGATGGCAAGGACCATCCGTAACGAGATTTTACACGAGGCGCGCAAGAAGGCTAGTTCTTATATATCCAGGATCCGGGAGAAGGCGGAAGCACAGTCGTTTGTCGAGATTCCGGAAATGGAATGCCCTCCGCTCCACGGCCTGGAAAGCAGGCTAGTTCTAGCCGACTTGGAGCTTCTCAGCGAGGCTCTCGACGGACAAGCAAATCTTATTGACGAGTGGCGGGAAGAAATCATCCAAATGTTGGCCAAGCCACTTGTGGACGAGGACGAGGAGCATGAGATCACGGGCGACGAGTACGAGGATTCGACGAAGATTCAGGACGAGCTCATGGTATATACCTTAGCTATGAGAGCGGCCATCGCCGACCGACAGGATGCGATCTCTGGCTTGGAAAACGAGAGGATCAGGTATGACACCCGTTTTGCGGAGAGACAAGCACAGAACGGGGAGGGACATGCTCCTGCGAAGGTCCTTGCCTTGCTCCAACAACGCCAGCAAGCCAAGCCGTCAGGCCATGGGACCTCTTTCCGAGGCATCATAACCGACCTCCGGGAGTTAGCAACGAAGCTGCGCTACGATGTCAACAACGGGAGCAGCCGTGCCAGGGTTGAGCTGGAGATTGTCGAACAGCAGCTACGGCTGCTACAAGGGCAGAGCAGTGCGCAGAACAAGGCCTCCCTATCTCTAGAACGAGAGCTGGACGGCTTCGTCGCAGCCTTGAACGCTCGCGTCGAATTCTACAGACAATTGCAGGCCGTCTCTGACACAGTCGCCCCTCTCGGCGCAGAACGTCAAAAGAACCTCGACTCGACCGCAGAGATGGAGCGGAATGAGCGGGTCTTGCAGCACCGGATCGCCCTCGCGCTATCGAAGCACCGCTACTGTAAGCACCCTTCTACTTTATTTGCTCGTGTGCGTGAGCAATACTGACCTGCGTTGCAGTGGTCCACCTCAAAGAAGCCGGTCAAGACTCGGACGAAGTTTGCGTCATCTGCCAGTCGTCCTTCACGATAGGAATCCTCACCGTCTGCGGCCACCAGTTCTGCAAGGAGTGCCTCGTAGCTTGGTTTAAGGCCAGCCGTAGCTGTCCCGTTTGCAAAAAGCAACTCACGTCGGCGATGCTACACGATATAACGCTGAAGAAACAGGATCTGAAGGTCCACCAAGAGCATCCCCGCACCTCCGGGGATGTGAACTCGGGCACCAAAGCAAGGAATTTCGGTATCTATTCCCAGTTCAGCAGCGAGAAGCTCGAGACCATCAAGGGGATCGACCTCCACGGACGGTCCTATGGTACCAAGGTGGATACTCTCATTAGACACCTGCTGTGGTTGCGCATAGAGGACCCGGGTGCCAAGTCGGTCGTCTTCTCGCAGTTCGGTCGGTTCTTAGATGTCCTCAGCCCAATCCTGCAGCAATACGGTATCGGGTTCACTTCTTTCAGGATGAAGAACGGCATCAAGCGGTTTAAGGAAGACCCAGGCATCGAATGCTTCCTCATGGATGCCAGGGCCCACGCCAGCGGTCTCAATCTGGTGAATGCCAGCCACGTGCTGCTGTGCGAGCCTCTCTTGAACACGGCGCTGGAGCTCCAGGCCATCGCTCGAGTGGATCGGATCGGCCAAGAGCACGAGACGACAGTGTGGCTCTACCTGACGGAGGGCACGGTGGAGGAGTCCATCTACGACCTATCGATCCAGCGCCGCCTCGAGCATCTAGGCAAGAACACCAAGGGCAAGTCTAAGGAGTCTACGCCCGAGGTCTCGGACTTGAACCTCGAGGTAGCGAACTCTCTGGAGCTAGAGCAGGCGCCCCTGTCTAGACTCATGAACAAGAACCAGAGGCTCGGGGAGGCCGTTGACAAGAACGACCTCTGGCAGTGCCTGTTCGGGAACGCCAGCAAGGCGAGCACGTCGACGGATGAGCGGCTCAACGACCCCGCCGTCATCGGCTTCCTCGCTAGCGAGGCGGTGGAAGCGAGGCGGCTGGGCCAGGCCAGAGGTGAGGGTGCAGCGCTGTGACATTGCTGCGGGTATCTCTCTCTATCACGACTACGGTCTACGGAACGTGGGGGCGAAACCACAGGACCTAGCTGTTTCCTCTCAGCAGGCTCCTGACAGCGTAACTAGTTGATTTTCAGACTGACGCTATGCATACCGACGCTGTGCATACGTCCACCTGCAAGCCCGGATCGGGGAACACCCGGAGCGATACGAGCTGTGGCGCGGGGCGATGGCAGGGGTGCATCTCGTCCTATACTGTCCTATCTTCCGCACTGCTCACCTATCCTGCACTATACTCCTGCTATACTGATTTTGATACCCATGCTTGCGACTGCCGCTTTAACGGGAACAAAATAGACGGAGATACGAAGCGATGATGAATAAACAGAAGAGTCTCACGTCAACGAAGAAGCGGAACAGTGTAACGTGTGACTAGCCGGCTGAACTAGCCTCTTTATCTAGCCCGTCGGGCGTAGGAGGGCAGAAGTTCGAGTGACGGCGTAGGATGTGTGCGTGTGTGTTAAGTAACGTGGTGTGCGGTGCTCCCCCTGGTTGGGTACAGCAGCCATGGGCGTCATCAAGCGGGGGCGGATCTAGAACTCGACCGTCTGCCGGGGAGGTGTAGGTGTAGGTAAGCGGCGAGGCTAGGTCAGGTCAGGTCAGAGTGGCATCGTCGCGTAAGACCCAGAGGCGGATAAGCAAGACTGGACTGACGGTCTCGACAAGATGGAGAAAAGGGGAGGGGGGAGGGATGACCCGGGAACTTGGGCGGGAGAGGGAGCAGGGGAGGGGAGGGGGAAGGGAGGGGCGTGGGCGAACGAGAGTACGGGAACGAGAAAGCTAGCTAGCTCGACGATGGGTCTTGTAGAGACATGGTGGTGGTGGTGGGGGTGGTGGTGATGGGAGGCTGTGCGGGCCTGGATAGATGATGATGGACTGGCTTGAGTGGACGCGGCCGGCGCTCACTCCCACCCACCCCCCCCCCCCTCCCTTCACCACCGTGTCCTATCCGACCCTGATCGAACGAGGGCACACGAGCAAGTTAAGTTTATGCAGGCGTGTCGTCGCCAGGACTGAGGCGGGGCGCGTAATCGTACTAGCCTGGGAGCGGTAAAGGCGGGACGTAGGGCTGGCTGGCCGGTGAGGGAGTGGGCAACGCGGTGGTGAGGAGCAGGGATGGATGGTGGAGAGAGAGGAGAGGGTGTGTGTGTGTGTGTGTGGGCGATGGGGAAGAGGGGGGGTTGTCCTCCTCCTCCTCCTCCTCCTCCTCCTTTCCATCGTCACCGTCGTCGTCACCATCGCCCGCCCACCTCATCCTCCCACCTCGCAGGACTCCTCCTGCTGCAGCCACCCGGCTTACTTATTTCCCCTCCCTCAGTCTCCCTTCCCACCCTGTGCGCCCGCCTATTATACGTACCTACGCGTCCACGTCCTACATGTCCACGGAGAAAAAAAAATATACACACACAACGCATGCACGCCCGTAGCCCCCTTCCGCTATATGGACACGCAGGATGTGCAGCTGCGCGCGCGTGCAGGCATACATGTAGGCATATGCTCGGCCTGCATCGGGGCCCAGAGATTCCGCGCGCAGGGTTCCGCGGGATCGTCGGCGCCCGCGTCGCACGAGCGAACGGATCGCCCCGGATGTGCGAGGTAAATAAATGAGCTGGGCGGCTGCCTGCTAGCAGCCCGCGTAGAGCGGTCGCGCGGGAAGGGGGGAGGAGGAGGAGTTGGGAGGATGAAGGGGGAGGAGGACGAGGACGACGAAAGTTAGGAAGAGAGAGCAGGAGAAGGAGAAGGAGAGAGAGAGAGAGGTCGTCGATCGAGATCGTCTGTCTCTGCTTCCCAGCGACACCCGATACTGACGCGCAGCCTTTCAGCCCGTCAGCTCAGCCTCGTCGCTCCCTCGTCGGATCGCCGCTCGCCTGTGGCGCAAAGACGTCGTCGAACAGGCTCAGGCTCTCGGCGTAGGAAACGGGATGGGACGAGAGGATTCTCGCTACTTGTGTGTATATATATATAGAAATATGCCTGTATACTTATAGATACATACCTGTGGATCCTGAGGCATTCAACCTTACTTAATCAAACGGCGGCCTGTACTCATAGTTGATTGACTACCCTCGGCACTTCAGGAGTCGAGCTAATATTGGCTATAAAAGGAGCTATAGATAAGCTCGTCAATTAGTAGTTAGCCCATAGTTATCCTCCTAATACCTCCTAGATCAACGGCATCAGGTTTCAGCATCCTAAGATTCTAACACTAGTTACTTACTAACTGGTGTTGTGGGATCACAGGAAGCGGGACTAAGCCAAAACGCACATACCTAACATAAGTAGATACCTAGGTACCTAAGGTAGGTAGGTGGACAAGGAGGTAGGTATGTACCTAATATATGCGTGCCGGTACCTTCTACCTAAATGCAGGGGTAAACACGTAGGTTAGGTACCTATAGAAATGTGAACATATGTACGGACGGGTGCATATGCAGGTAACCCCGTCGACGAACCCCGCCTACTCATGCGCATCCTGATGGAAGGCAGGGAATAGGTATTGCATATGCAAAATATGCACATGTGAGAGGACGGAGGGAGACTTCACGTTTTTCCTCGCCCTCTTCTAGAAGCCTGTCTCGAAGGATTCCCTCCCCCAATCTCCCGCCTAGATATGTATATGTGATGTATATGTGTATGCGTATGTGTATGTAGGCACGTACATATGTGGGAGACGAGTCAAGTCAATAAGTTGGGCAGCCGGATGCCGAAAGCAACCTCCGAACCCGACTTTGTCTTCCTCACCCCTCCTTTGAGAGACAGAGAGAGAGAGAGAGAGAGAGAGAGTGGGAGCGAGAGAGACGCCCACACCCTTCCCCTTCTTCCCCTGGACGGGACCGAACCGACATGCTGCATACGTGCAGGTAGAACGACAGGACGACGCGCCCAGGCGCCTTGCCAGAAACTATACCCGGTACGCTCAGCCATGCAACTATTCCCAACCCCCGATGCGGATTAGCGCGTGCCCCCTTGCAGGGCTCGACCGAGGGTGGACCATTTTCGTCTCTTCCCAACACGAGAGAGACAGGCAGCGACCAGTGCCGAATTCGCCTAAGCTAACGTGACGGATGGACGTACTTACTACTACACAACTTCTCAACCCCCTCTCTCCCCCCCCCCGCGGGACGAAATCCCGGCGCGCAGGCATCAGAAGCGAGGAAGCAGATACCGAGGCCTAAGGGAAGCCGATGTTTACCTGAGACAGGTGTCGTTTTCTCGGGATCTGGCCCGACGAAACGACCATGCCTCTCCGTCCCCCGCGTGTCTTCTGACTAAGTCATCTGTCTATGGTCAATATAATGTATGATGTAAGTGACTGACTTATTGGCCACGCCACCCATCATCGCCGCCCGTAATTCGCGGCGTCGCCATGACCGCATGTCTGAGTTGGTAACCTATACCTATTTCCCCTCCATCGTACGAGCGATAGGAAAACTCTTGCGAAAGAAGAAAAGGGAAAAAAAAGGGAAGAAAAAAGAGGAACGAAAAAGCTCGGCGCCGTGGCACTTGTCGGCCTCCCGCACGCGTACATTGAAGGACGCACTGAAGGACGGATAGCCATGTGAGCATACAGACATATATGCATGGGTAGGAAGAGGGAGAATTCGCCGCAGCCGCCCCATCCTTCCCCTTCTCGTACCACGCCTGCGCCGCAACGGCTATTCCCAACTGAACCTCCCCCCCCTAGCATCCAAACTTCTGCCTCCGTAAATCATGTTAGGAGACGCAAACGAGATCAGACAAAAGATGGTGTAGGTATCTGGGTATATCTAGCGAGGTCGGTAACGTTTCATTACCGAGACGGGGGTATTCTACAAAGGGTGGGAAGGCGAGGGGGAAGAAGAAATAATCTGCGTCGTATACATGGGCCAATCATAATGATCATAACGTAGAAGAGAAAGGGGGGGGGGGGAGAAGAGGAAAAAAGCAGTGCCAGAAATATTGTGAAGTGGGACGTCTCGTCCTACAATAGACATCTTTCGCAGCATAAGTCGCCAACCATTCACGCTCGTGCTCAAACCGTCCGAAAAAAATATCCGTAGGCCGCCTCTCGTCAGCAGCGTCCATCGAGCCTCGGAACCGTGCTATATGCATGAGCTCGATAGTCAACTCCGCCACACACACACACACACACACACTCTCTCTCTCTCTCGCCCGCTCTTACGTTTAGCGATACGAGGAACCGTAGCCGCCACGACCGTGACCGCTGCTACTGCCGCTACCGTTAGGGCTCATGTCGTAGTAGTAGGACGACACCTCTTCGTAGTAGCAGTCGTCCCCCCCGCTGCTATTCGTCGCGCTGCTGCCGTAGCTGATGGCCGGCTGCTGGCGGTAATGCTGATAGAGGCCGTCGCCGCCGCCGCCACCGCCGCTGCCACCGCCGCTGCCACCACCGCTGCTCCTGCTGCCGCCCCCGCCCGAGGTCGTCTCGTAGAACTGCGGGGCGCTGTCGTGGCAGGCCCCGTAGCCGCCAGACTTGCCGCTGCTCCGCCTGCTCTCCGTCTCGTGGCCCCTGGTCAATACGTGCCGCATGTTGAGGCTTCCCCACGGCAGCCCCGAGAGCTCAGACTCATCTTCTGCCGCCAGCTCATCCGAGCAAGGGAGACGATAGCTGCTGCCCGCATGTTCCCTATCTCGAGACTCTCGCTCCGCTTTTTCCTTTTGCTCCCTAGCTTTTTCTCCTGTGGGTCTAGTGTCAGCCTACGTCTCCTCTCTCCCGTTCTAGAATGTCAGGTATGCGTACGGAACTTGCGTTGTGCGAGTCGATTTTGTATGCGTCTCCGCTCCTCGGGCTCCGTCACGTCGGTCCAGTCGTCGTTCGTGACCTTGGCCCTCGACTTCGAAGGCTTCTTCGGGCTTGGCTCGTTCTGCTGCTTGGTCGCATAAGAAGCCGCATTGCTTTGATAGTCCATGCTTGAGATCGACTTGAGTGTGGGCGGAAACCCCCTCGAGGGACCGGCAAAGGCTGGTAGGGGAAAGGAGATGAATTGCTTGTCGTTGATAAGAGTGTCGTAACACGCGGCCACCCGCTGAGCTAGTGGCTAGCTGATGCCTCTGAGTTTCGTTCTGAGTAGTTAATAGGCAGCCTGGCCGGACCGTATGGTGATGTCAGGGAGTTCTGGGATTAGAAGGTCTTATAATGTAGTGGAGAACGTCGCCGTGTGCCTCTTCCTTTTCCTTTTCCTTTTTTTTTTCCTCAATGCGGGTGCGGAGAAATAAGCATAACGATCAGGCGGCGGGAGGAGGCTTAGAAGTAGACTCTGCTTGCAGTATTCCTGTGTCTGAAGAGACGGCTTGGGGGCTGCTTCCTACTCGGCTCGCGGGATGCAACTCGGAAACCCAACAGGATTGAGAACATGGGTATTTCGACAAAGGCACGGTGTATTCTTTAGATGAGGTAATCGGGGCCCTCTTTGATACCACTTGCTTGGGCTGAGACTAGGCTTCTTACTGTCGGGGCTTATGATGCTTGTTTATATTCGCCGGGGACTTGCCTGGTGATAGGGAGTGAGGCATACTAATACTAAAAATGGCGAGGAGGTGTGTATGTATGTGCGTGTGCGATAACTAACCTGCAGCAGCAAGTCTGACGAGGTGACAATCGAGCAACCTGGATTCAAGCCACGATTGCAACCTGAGAGACGCATTAATTAATTCAGGAGCAGGCCTCGGACAGGGCTCATCTGCACGCATGTCAGACATCCTGCAGTATAAGAGAGCTTCGTAGCAACGAGGCCGACTGACTGAGCTTGCAGGGCCACAGACACTGGGCGACTGAGAAGGTCTTCTGAATTGATATCCCTCGAGAGGCCTGCTTGCGCCGGGGCCTAGTCAGCCTTCGACGGCTTTCGTCGGGATGCCAAGCCGCCCCCCGTTTATCCTAGTCAGGGAGAAGTCATCGAAGCCGAAAAGGTGATAGGTGATCGACAGGACGATGCAGTCACGATTAGTATCGACCCTGTTCGTGAGTCTAGTGGACCCAGGGGGGGAAACAATAGAAAACGAAGTACGCAGACCATCCAGTCTGCAAGGGGAAACGGCGAAGTCGTTGGCTAGCTGTTCTTAGTGTGGATCGGTGCGTGGTATAATGAGAGGGTGTGGTCTGTGACCTCACCGGCGGCAAGCGGTTGAGTGGCTTTGACTGGCCTCCCCCCCTCGGACCTACTGGCCGGGAAAAAAAAACGAGTTGTGCCTAGGGATGATTTGACAGGTGCCACGAGCCATCCGCCGTCTTGTTCGTTCGGGGAATCCAGGGTGGGGGACGAAGGATCCGGGATATCACCTATACGACATCATATTCTCGTGGTCTGCTTCAGCTACTGCTAGGTGTGATGTTGAGTATAGCGCCTTAGGCGGTTGGGAGGGACGCCGGCTCCTATTCGCCGGCTGCCCGGCGGAGAAAGGGGGCTAGCGGATCGAGCAACGGTTGTCCGCCAAAATGTAACGCGTGACGATCATCCTGGGTTTCTGAAATGGTCGGTAGGCAAGAGGGAACGACGAGCTTGGACAGGGCTTCTGTCACTCACCACACCCCTCCCCTCCCCTCCCCACGGTCTCGTCTCGTCTAGAATTGCTTTTCTTCTTTTGCTTTCTCATTACCGCCCCTGGCCGCGGCTTGTGCTTTCGTGGGTCTCGTGACCCTTGTCCGATGCGTGACGAGATGCGGTCCTGTGCTTTTCGAGGGCCATAGTACCTCGGAAGGGGTGTTTGGTTTCCCCCAAGATGTAAACTGGAGGCATCGTCGTAAACGGCTGGCCGAAAAGGAGGTTACGGTTGACTCCGTCGCGTGTTGCCCACGTGCGGCTGAAATACCAAGACACGTTGCTGATCCTTCAACCTATCTCGTACGTACGGAACCACGAGAGGACTCTGGTATTACTATGAAGACACCAACTGCCGAATCCTAGTAATCAAGAGAGAGATCGTCTCAAGTCTCGCAAAGGTACCAGACGGCGCATGGTCGAGCCCTGGTTGGTGTCCACCTGGCTGCATACCCGTTCAGGTCCCTCGTTCAAGCAGGTTTAAATGAGTGGATCGGAAACAGGGGACCCCGGCAGGCTGATGGGCATCGAGAGTCGATGTGTGTGGGTAGAGGGGCGAAGGCCCTCCTAGAGCCACGAGCTTCTCTTGGCGGGCGGTCTGTCACACTGCAGACTGCAAGATGAGGGCAGAACTTTAAAGGTCCCAGCCCTAACAACTTATCGTACATATGCAATGCGCAGCAGCAGCCTGTCTGGGTGACCACCCCATCGTTGCTGTCGTTGTCGTTACTGTTGTTCCGCCGCCCGGGGGTTGCTGTTGTGACCTCGTAATGTGGTGCGCAGTACGGCTGACAGCCTCCATCCGTGCAGGGTACATGCAACATCGAGAGGGATGCGAGACTATCGAAAACGACACCGAGCATGACTGTGGTGGTTAGGATGCCATCGTATCCGCGTGCCTGAGACATGAGTACGTAGTAATCGGACGGCTGAAGAACGTGGGACGGCAATTCCGCCTTGCCAAGGTTAGCCACCATGAATCGACGTCTTGGTCCCGGCGCCCGAGCCATAAGCTGTCGCCCTTGTTCTTGGTCTCCGGGAGCAGCCACGGGAGCCAGCTAGTGATAAACGCATCCTGCCGATCAGGTAACTTCAGACGTCTGAGACATTGTTGCCCGTGCAGATCTAGGCGCCATGCCTTGGAAAAACAACGCCCCATCACCGTGTGGGCGTTAGGTGTGCCTGTCTTGCGGTGAAGTCTCCTAGATCATCTCCGCACGTGGGCGGCAATTCAGCTCGCAACATCAGATTATATATAGGCACCACATACTACGCAGAGCACACGCGCCACGCACCACACAAGTCGAACGCCCTTCCAGACCCCTCCACACACCATCCACTAGGATGGAAACGTAGATTCCGAGAAATTTGCATTTGGGGCGCTGCCGTCCGGGCAATTGGAATTCGACTTTCAGAGACTGTACCGGTGCTGAGCAATATGGCGTCCAATGACCGAACAGATCATCCCACGAACAACCCACGTAAGCAGCCGGGTTTCTTCGCTAGGCGCCCAATGACCGCCCGCTGAGAAGGTCCGGAATTATACGTAGTATGCCCTATTCGTCGAGTGGCTGCTTGGCAGACTGTCTTTGCGCCATTACCACTCGCTGTGCTTGTGAGTCAGCGGACAGAGTACCCGTGGTAGGAATTCGTCCGTGGAACAATGGACGCGAGGCGGAAGCAAGCCGTTTGTTTGATCAGACCGCCCTCATCATCGTCCCATCACTTGTTGCGTCCAGTTCCCCGCCGTCATGATCGGCCCAGGGGCAACAGGGAAATCCCCTGTCCCAGATGAGATCTGAGAACCTTTTTTCGAGTTGCGAATCTGTAAACATGTCCTGCCTAGCTGTCAAATGTCCTCTACACACCGCTCTGCGAGGCAGCGTACAAATCTGAGCCGACTCCTGAGCACCACGTGCTCGTCTTCGTAGCTTCGGTGTTGGGTCAGAAGAAACCCCAATATTCCGGAATGACGAGACCTGGTGTCGGAGCACGGCTGTGGGTAACATTACGCAGTAGGCATATTATACGTAGGTACGTATGCGTGTGGGCGAGTGTGTGTGTGGATGGATGGTATATAGCTAGCTCTATGAGCATGACAGGGGTGGGGGGAGGTCGACGACAACGACGGTGATGGTGTGGAGAGGGAATCGAATCTAAAACTCTCAGATTGCCGCGGCCGTAGTTTCGCCACCAGCCCTATGGGAGATCCGCGATGCATATATCCCAACGATGCGGTTCGCTTCTACCCGTCGGATATTTTCCTTGGGCCAGTCTTCTGGGGAAGTGCCGTTGGAGCTTTATGCTCAATAAGAATCGAAATGGGTGTAGGCATGGAGTGGGCCTGGCTATTAATCAGCGCTGACAGACGCGGACTTGACGATGCCAATGTTAGTCCCTGTAATCCGTCCGCACGGAGAGACCTCGACCCGGCCTTATTACTGTTTCGGGCAGCCTTTCCCAGCATCCTTTCAGCCCCATCGCTCGCACGCTGATAAACATACACTGCCGGTTCCTAGACGCTGCTGGCACGTTTCGATGTCGAGCATTCTCGAGACACTTCTTTTATTTCTGATCATCTCCCACCCTGTAGGCGAGCGGTTGGCTATGTTAATTACTGTCATCGACCTTACTCGATGAGAGGTCATGCGCACGAGGGGGTGTTGGATCGAAATCCCGGACCAAATGCAGGATCTACATGAGGACGCACTCGAGTCCGTACATCGCCCTCTCGACGTCTTTCTTAACTTGGAACCAGTCGGCTCTTCTCTCTGCGAATTCGTACGCCTCTTCGGCACGAAATATGCCGCCGAACCGATCTCCGTCGGCGATTATGGTTGCCATTTCTTTGGCATGCCGGGCGTCTATAAGGTATATCTGACTTAGTTCTCGCAGCGCCTTGAAGTACGCGAGAAGGTCCGGGTTTTTAAGCGTCCGAATGTACTCGAAATACATGTTCATGTCTGCAATTAGCTTTACTGAGCCCTCGGTGCTGATACGCTGTCGTTTGATATGCTTGCACACGGCGGTGAACAAACGCAGCCCGACCTCGCTGTTGAACACGTCTAACATGCTCTTCTCTGTGCTCCCCACCAGCATTTTGGTGTGCGATGCTACGAGCTCTGTGACGCGCCTCGCGGTTACAGTTGGGCCGATGTCGGGGTCTTTATTCGTGATGGCTTCGTGCGACGACGGCAGCGGGTTGAAGTCCGTCGGGAGCTGGGTTGTTGCGCACAGGTATTCAACCTCATCCATCAACACATCGATGCCCTTGTTGAGGCCTGCGGCGACACTCTCATCTAGCATCTGCTCGAACTTCTTCTTGGCCAAACCTGCAGGATCGAGAAAATCGTTCCGGTCGGCAATTTTCGTCGCCGCAAGTTGCTGCTCGTAGAAAACGTCGATCATTTGTGAGATGATGTCGCCCACGTTGACCAGCTCGATGAACATGACGAGTGGTGCCACGCCGGTCTGGCTGTGGTCGCTGATCTCGCGAGGGTTGTAATGGGATAGATGCTCCACCGCCTTGGTAAATCCGTTCTTGACGTGCGTCTGGCCGAGTATCCTGACTAAAACAACGAACAATGCTTCGCACTGCTCTCGGGCTTCTTCACCAGCCTGCCCTCCTAGCGCGACGAATTTTTCGGCCCTCCCCAAGCCTTCCTTTGCGGCATGCACTAAACTAAGAGCCACTTCGATACTGAAAAGACTTCTAATTCCTTCGAGTCGATTGGCCATCAGTGCGGCCTTTGCCTTGAGCTCATCGTTCGGCGCCTCCGAAGGCAAGGGACTCGCTGTCCGTTCCGGGGGCCCGCCGAGCCCCGGTGTCTGGGGGCGTGACGACACAGGTGTGCCGACGACAGATCGCCGAAGCGCGGAATTGTGGGCGGTGGCCGGGGCGGGTTTACTTGCCCCGAACGGCGAAGAAATGGCGCTGGGCAGCACAGTAACCGGCATCATCACGACTTTCTTGAAGGAGGTCAGGAAATCGTTTTTGTCAGCTTGTCGGTTGAAATTCCCCATGTAAAACGACTCGACGGTGGCGTCCTGCTCCGAGAGCTTCTGCTCCCAGTCGTCGACTTCGCGTTCGGCGAACCTCGTAAAGCTGTCCAATTCCTCTTGTAGGTACAAATCCAGATGTGGCTCGAACACTTTCAGCGCAATATCTTTTGCATGATCGTCAAGGCCTCCTTCCGAGTCCTTCGGTGGATCTAACGATCGTACGAACTGTACGCAATGCTCGAAGAGCCCGGAGACCGCCTTTAGGTAGGAGGGCATGTGTCGATCATGGCATTCATCCAATAGCGGAGTCACATACTCCATGATGATGTCTTCTCGAATTTTATCCACAAACGCCCAGAAGACTATTCCCGGCCGAGGAAAGATGCGGCTAATGACAGCGCTCTGCTCGTTCACCTTCCGAGCGAGCAGCGCAAAGAACATGTGGGAGGGTTCGAGCGTAATGCTGTCCTGGGGGGCTTGGTTGATGCAATCCATGGGGTTGCCCAGGCTCCCACGCTCGTTGAGTATGGGGTGCTTTTGAATAAAAAGATCCATGGCGGCGCTGCCACCGTTCAGGGTATGCAAAACGTGTGCATATCTCTGCATTCTGCCATCGACATCCCAGAATTCGTAGCCTTGCTCGAATTCTCTCAGAACCGCGCTTTCGAAGATGGTCGTCATGTTGATGAGCTTAGCCTCCCGTTGCTCGCAACCCTGGGCCCAGTCACTTTTGCCGAATATTTGCAGATTGGACAGCATCTGAGCCTGCCTCTCGGGATCACGGAACACAGTGAAGACGATGGGCTCGGTGTGCGTCTTTGCCCGCACCAAGTCGAAGTAAAACGGCGCCAACGCGCCATATACCTTTCCATATTCTTGTCTCGCATATCCACGAATACTCCTGACATTCTTGAGAACGTCAAGCAGCGCAGCAGGGTCTTCGTAAGGCGACTTTGGTTGGGACGAGATTAAACTTAGGGTCTCAAAACCATCCAGCTTTGGCTCTAGCGGTTGCAGAGCCTGCCGTGCCTGAACTTTCCTGCGCTCCTCTTCCACAGTGGCGTCAAATATGGTCGTGCTCGTCTGACCGGCGCCTCTGGCGTTCGCCCGTCCGGCAGCGTCCCGCTTCTTCTTCATGGCATCCTCAAATCTCTTCCTAGCCTCCGCCTCGCTCCAGCATCCCATACTTTTGAGCCTCGCCACCCATCTCGTATCGTCGTAAACCATCTCGCGCATTCGCCATGATGTCCTTGCAAATCGGAGAAGGTCGGAGACGGGCAAGTAATTCATGATCGATACTATGATTTCTAAGGATCGAAGTCAGCACCTGTCTCCAGCTCTCTTCGACTTCGGGTGGAGGGGAGAGGAGATGGCGTATAGCGGTCCATCGTTAGGTGCTTACCAGCGGGTAAAGAAGTCTTGGACTCTATCATCGATGTCGCCCGCAGGGTTCCTAGGATGCTAGCCCTGGATGCAGGGCCCTGCTGCGGCGCTCGCTTGAAGTTAGACATGGCAGTCGAATATGTCTGCTACACGGGGCAGACACAACGAAAGCTCAGTGAAGGGGAGGAAAGCAGGAAGAAGAGGGAGAAGGGCGGGGAGAGTGAGAGTAGGAGGGCATTAAATGTGTCACTGGGGAAGATCCGTCATGTAGATACGGTGTACAAATGGATACCTCAGGTTAAGAGGTAGGTGCCTGGTATTTATCTGGAACCGCGGCCTCTCAACTCGGGGCAACCAAGATGCGATTTGAGGTACTCATCGTTATTTTAGGACCAAATCCTCACACACCTGTTCCCGATCCGGCAGCTTATACTACCACCTGCCAGAACCTGGCGAAGGCATTCCCAGCCGGGTACCGACAGCAGACGGGTACTACGTAATACCCCGAAAGCCACCTGTGCATGCGCACACCGCCTTGTCTCCCCGCGGCAGAAACCTGGCCCGGAATCTTTTTTGTCCCCAGAAGAAAAAAAAGACAGTCTAATAGTTTGGAGCTCCAACTGGATACGCATCTCGGCCAATTGCTTGGAAAAGCACCGATTTCCGATATCCCATGTTGTCGATCGCAAACGCCCACTAATCTCTACTAACTCGCGAAATAAGAAGAGCATATGCCGCCATCTCGTCAACCCAACCTGATATTCTCGCCTAAGGACTCTTATCGACCTCGAGATGGAGGCCAGCGACCCGTCGCCCTCGCAGAAGCTTGACCCGGCCAAGCTCCATCGCGAAGCTGTAGCCAAAGGTGACGATGATTGCCCAGCTTGTTGCCGGGCAGAATTGCTAACATGCTACAGAGGAAAAGCTCAAGAGCCGGCAAGACCCCGAACGAGCTGAAGCCCGCAAGGAGAGGCGACACGCCAAAGCCGAGGGGAAGAGAGCGCGAAAATTCAAGGTCCCTCGTGGCGCCGGGCGGACCGACGAGGCGAAGGCGGCAGACAGGAAGAAGCTGGCTAAGCGAGAAGATAAAAGAGAAAAGCGACGGAAACACCTGCGTGCGCGAGCTACCAAATTAGAAGCACAAGCAACCAAGCTCACGGCGGAGGCCCAGAAGGCTAGGGCCCGTGCCGATTTCCTAGACGCGCAACTAGAGGTGAGGTCTTTCCTGCGCGCCGCAGCCTAGTGTCTTTCTATTAACTGTCACTTGTTGGGTAGGCGGAGGAAGCCGAGAAGAAGAAGGCTTCTCGCGAGATCGCCGAGGAAGCGAGTGCAGAGCAACAGGGAAATGCAGCCGATAATGCCGTAGAGGAGCCGAGCCTGGATGCGGATGTCAAGAAGGGGGGGGAGAAAGTAAAGAAGGGGGAAGAGAATCGGACGGGGAAGCGCAAAAGAACGACGGAGGAATCCTCGCATGAGCCTGTGAGCGGCGCAACGAATGAAGATACCGCGGAAGATACGGAGATACCCAAGGAAGAAAAGATAGAGAAGAAGAAGAAGAAGAGAAAGATAGAACAGGACGCCTCAGAGTCCCACGCTGGAGAGGAGGTATCCCAGGAAGAGGCACCCAGGGAAAAGAGGAATGAGAAGAAGAAGAACAAAAAGAGGAAGGAAAAGAGCCACTCTGAGGAGGCCGTGCCCTCCGCCGCGACCGATGTCGGGGCGGACGCCCCCGGCGGCGAGCAGTGGAACGTCCAGGGCCTCGAGGGCGGTGACAAGAGAAGAGAGAAGTTCCTCCGACTCCTCGGGGCCAAGGGAACCAACGGGACGACAACCGTGGACGGCCACGATGCCCCGCGCACGTCGAAAATCGACATCGCCCACATGCAACACGACCTGGAGCGTCAATTCGATGTGGGGATCAAGATGAAGCACGAAGGCCGCGGACACCGGAAGGGTCTCGGGGCGTGATCGAGCCCGTGTATTTCATGTAGCATATATGCGTGTACGAGGGGGTAAAAAATCCAGGGGAAGGAGAGGAAAAGATCGGTATGGGTGATTAGGGGGCTCAATCAGGTGTGTCCCTCGGTGTGGCATTTTCAGAAATGAGCCCTAACTGGGTCTCTCTTCAAGGACGAGGCATTCTTCTCGTCGCTGTGAAGGGGGACCCGACCATATCTTTTGCTCTCCCGTTCTTCGGCTTTTGTAGCAGCAATGCTAGCGTAGGTAGTTAGGTATATCTTATAGCCACACCCCAGCTTAAAGCTGGACCTGAGTTCACGTCACGACTGGGTATAACCACACGCAGGCTGTGAAATAGAAGTGTTTCCGAAACGCCCTGATACATGTAGCCCTCGTAGTAGCGATGGCCTGACTACCTCGTCTGTACACATATACACCTCGCCCACCCTTCACATATTCCGCTCGGCCTAGCTCCCACTTATTATATCTACCATTTCTTTCTCTTTTTGCCTTGTTTCCGCACACAGTTGGGGCTATACGGGGTTGTCGCTACCGAATTCGCCTCGGACGTGTGTGTCGAACTATGTCTATCTCGTGGGCCGGACGGCTAACGGCGTGGTCCCGGTACGAGCCCTCCCTCGCGACACGTATGAGAGCTGCTGCCGTCCGAAACTGGCCGGTTCCCACGTCTACCGGAAGAAGATGCGCGAGAGGACCTCGAACACTAGGCCGCCGAAGACGACGAAGGCGAGAATGACTGCATTTTATCGACGAGTTTCAGGTCAGTTCTTTACACTCACATCTTTTCCTCTCCGGGAATCGTCCGTGTCTGCCGGCTGCCAAGGCTGTGCGAGAGGGTGCGTGTGTGTGGAAAAGGGGGAAGGTGAGTGCCTACTGAGCCAGAAGGGGGAGATGGGCGACTTGGTCACGTCCTTGGTGCGCTTCTTGATCTCCGTCTCGGATTTGCCGCGGCGGGCGTCCTGCTCCTTTGCGAACTTGGCATTGCGCCTCCGCTGCTCGAGTGTCTGGGCCTGCGAGAGTATACCGTGGTTAGCTAGCTGCCCACCTATCCGCCTCTCCCGCCTCCCTGTCTCCTTGACTCCTGCCGAGCGCCTCGAGTTTGGACATAGCTCGGACGATGCTGTTGGGGCTGCTTTCCAACTTCCCGTCAACGTACCATTTCCGATATATCAGGGAGGTATTTATGTATGAGAGGTTATCGCGAGGTATGTGGTAAGCAGCAGAGGCGGCGTTGTGCACCAAGTTGGCGGATTCTCCGCGAGATGTCGATGTCAATGGAGATGTGGTAAGTGTGAAAGTTGCGAGGTGAGAAGGGGGCAGATTAGGAGAATTGGCTTATAGGAGGTTGTGTCTCTGGTCCTAGTTGCGATTGGGTTCCGTCCTGCTGGCGGCAGCTTTATAAGGAAGGATAACAGATATCCCAGTCGATCCTAAGAACAGATTGTTCACAGCCAGAGGTTGGAGATGAGATGGTCCGGCAGGTTGTACATACTCACCTGCCCATCTGCTTTGGAATATGGACATGTGTCTGCAAGCAGGAAGTAACAGTTATGCGGATACATCTAGGCGGGTTGGGTACCTAGGTACCTCTAGTACCTCGTATGTATGGGTGTACATGAAATGTACCGTGCACTCTATCGATGCAGGTATCGAGGGAGCTGCCAGGTTGCACCACTTGCTGCAATGAGTTAGCGTCGCTGTCTCGTATAGTATACCTTGCAGGTACTTAATGCTGCAGTAGTGTACCCCTGAGGGGGGCTGACAGCCTCGCCTGCAAGGGAGTTTCTCACCTGACGTACGTAGGTACCTACATGTATGCGCTACCTAGTACGTAGGTATCCTATTCTTATTCTTCGCCAAAGCCGCAGCAACCTCCAGTGTTAAGCCGCACTTTGGAGCTCTTACGGAAGAGCCCCGTACAGATCAACCGCAGACTATTACACACGCCGCAAATCAACCTATCTCTTCCCCCAGTCCGCCAGACTCGACCGGAACAGACAACAATGCTCCCCCGGGGTCCCAGACACCTGGCGCTGCTGCGCACGCTCACCGCGCCCCGGCCCCCATCCGTGCCGCCCGCTCTCCAGCGCCGATTCCGACAGCACATGCGGGGCCGGTTCTATTCATCACAACCTCAACCGGGCGGTTCTCCAAATGCAAGGCACCCTTCCCCCCCCCCCTTCTCCCTCTCTCCGAGCCCCCGCGCACCTTCGCAGGGCGCGTGAAGATGAAGTCTCTCTAAGACAAAGCCTTCCATGCAAGCTATACGTATCTACCCACTCTCTTAGACACCTATATTAACAATCTACCCCTCGCTAGGCGGACTTCTTTAAGACCTTTGGCCGCCCCATCGGCAAGGTCTTCCTCCTCGCCATCTTCACTTACCAGCTGGCCTACTTTTTCTGGACGAGTCTCGAGTATGAAGAGATCAAGGGCGAGATGCAAGGTGTGTCCATAACCGCTGGCCCCCTTCCACACTCTCTCTTACGCTCGACTTACCCCCGCCACCGCTACCAATATCCCACCTGCCCGGCTCGCGCAAGAGCCCACCCTGCTCGCCCTCCCTGCGCCTTTGAGCGAACCTAGGCTGACTATAGGCGTAACCGCGAATCCTTCTAGCGACCATCGCCGAACTGGAAGCTAGGGTAGAGCAATTGGAGAAGAACCGCGGCCGATAAAAAGAGAGAAAAGAAAAGGGTTAGCTATACCACCAACCTGGGAAAAATCTACCAGTCTACTCATTAATTGCTCCCTCCCAACCCAAACCCAAGAAGAAGAAAGGTCCAAGAGAAGTTGGATCTACACCAAATTTACGCCGCGGTCCGGGCCGGATCCCCTACCGAACCATAACCTGCCCACCTACTTGTCCTCCGACTCCCAGCAGTGAAGTCGCGCGCACGGAATAAACCAACACACTAGCTAGGCCGAGGCGATCAGGCCCCAAGTCTCATCTAAGCTCTCGCTCGGAAGCATCGTTCTTGTCATAACCACGGGACTGCCTGCAGGGACAGGCCTCTTACCCCTATCGTGGTCGCGGTGGAGGATCGGGGGTAGTCACTCAGAGCTACACCTAACCCGTATACGCCTACCATTGTCAGACATGTATCCACCGCAAAGAGAGAAAGACGAGAGGAGTCGCGCGCGCAACGGCGGGAACATGGATTAGTAGTAGTAGGATCGCTATAGCGCGTGCCGACCCTCACTACATAATAACCTACTAGTAGGAGGCAAAAGCAAGCATATCCATCTCCCGTCCCGCCCCTCAGAGGAAAAAAAAAATCATCAAACATTCAGAGCCGTCGCGATCCGAGAACGCCTGTGCAATGCCACCCCGCTCGTCACGTTTTCCCATCCCATCTCGCGCGCGGCTCTCGTGAGAAGGGGCCGGTGATAGACCCCCTTTATTAACTCTCTTAGGAGATTCCATCTTAACGACGCCGTCCATCCAATGCTCTCTTATCCCAGAAATACACCGTGGAGGGGAAAAGAGGGGGGGGATAGAGAGAGGAAGAATCAAAAACAAAAAGGGAAAAAAAAAACCATTAGCCCAATTCCGCCTATCTATCTGTCTATCATATCTACCTTTGTGTCTGCCTGTCCGTCCCCACCCCCCTTTACTACATCGCACCCAGCAGCAGCACCAGCACGCTGACGAGCGCCGCGAGCGCGGACGCGGCGGCCGTCGTCGGGGCGGCGCTCGGCGGAAAGTGGGCGGAGCCGGGGTAGTTGCAGGTCAGGCCGCCGGTGATGTTGCGCCGGCCGTAACTCGTGTTGAACCCGAACTCGGAGAAGGGGCGGGGGCAGGCGAAGCCGAGCGAGGCCGGACAGCTGCGCACGAGCTCGTAGCATAGGTCCTCGCACGGCAGCAGCTCCTTGTAAGGACCCGGCTGCACGACCTCGTCGATCTGTGGGTTGCGCGACGTGTTGAAGGCGCGCAGGTGCCCGAACGCCTCCGTCACGCTCGGGTCCACCACCGTCCCGTTCGGGAACGGCTGCCCGATGTTGCGCATCTGTAGGGCCGGCCGGTCCGGCGACGAGAAGTCCTCGCACCGCGGCACCGCCACCGAGCAGAGCCAGTTCTTGTACGCCGCCTTGCAGTCGTCGCAGCCCCGCGCCAGGGAGTACTTCGACGTTACCGGCGCCTCGCACGGCACCTGCTGCAGCACCTTGTCGAAGTTGTCCCACATGGTCCGCGTGTAGTCGTCGTAGAACGCGGCAAGCGCCGTGCCATTCGGGAAGTTATTTAAGTTTCCTGGCACGGCGTACTCTGTCTCGTCGCACACGGTAAGGTTGAAAACGAACGTGCACGCGCCAACTACGGCGTTTTGTTAGCGACCTGATCACTCGAGGGCAAACCAAGGGCACTTACAAGGCTTGGTTTCGAACTCGGTCGGCCGAAACACCCTGCCGCCCCCTATATCCGAAGCGGAGCTGTTCTGTCGGGTCTGGAGGCCCTTTCCCGGAGGACGAGCAAGAATTCCAATATAGGTAGAGCTGGCGTCGAGACTGCTGATGTAGAACTCTTGCTGTGTGGCGTTGTCTTCTCTCCCCTTCTTCAACCCCATAGTTATTACTCCGCTGGTGCCATCTGCAAGACCTCGAATCTGAGCGTGCAGGCTGAGCCCGCAATAGGAGTTTCGTAAGCCGTTAAGCGCCGGGTTGGCCCGGTCGTGCGCAAACATAACATAGGGCATCTCGTCGGCCTGATCTGAGCCAATTGGCAGGTCATCTGTCTTAAATAGGGCCGCCGACCAGTCACTGTCAACCCAGACCAACTCCGAGACGGATTGGTCGTCGTAGGAAAAGTAATACCGATCGGTGGAGGCGACGATTTCGAAATTGTACTGCTTCGAGGCATCGAATAACTCGGCCGAGACTTCTGGGGCGGAGACGCTGAAATAAACATCCTGGCTTAGGGATACGTTAAACATGACCGCCCCCTGTTTGAAGGGAATGGCCCTCTGAGACCCGGTGGTCTGTGATGGCCCCGGAGAAGTATTATCGGTCGAGGTAGAAACGTAAAGAGTAAGCTGGGGGGGATCCACGTTGGTTCTGTTCGGCGAAATATACGTGGGCTGCTCGCAGGTATTGGCGGATATCCATAAGGTCCTCGACGGTTGTTGTCGCCGCGTTAGCTCCGGGCCCAAGATAGAGCCATCTTCGTCACCGTCCTCGTAGAGGTCGGCATCTACAGTTGGACCCCGTGATTCGTTCAAGCTGGCTAGGCTTCCCGTATGCTCGTCCTCATCCTGCGCCGCCCTGCGAGCAACAGATGATGCCGAGTAGACATAAGCCATGGTGGCACCGGGGGCAAGATTGCTCCTCTCGAGTTTATTGTTGGTCAGCGTGATCACATTATCCGGGGCCCTGCCGATAATACTGCGATCGAAAAGGCCGAACTCGGGCTCGTACACCGGCGCGCGGAGGTCCGTCGCCTCGGACATCTCCAAGTCCTGCGCGGCGAGGGCGCGGAAGCGGCTGTCATGATGGATAGCTATGGGGTCGAACTCGGCCGCGAAAGCGAACTGCGGGGGGAATAGAAGCAGATAGATGATGAGCAGCAAACAGGAGGCTATGAAGGACGCAGCAAGCCGCGACTGCAGAGGACTAAGCTGCATCCTAGGAAGATAGCCCCGTAGGGCATCTCACGGAGGAAGGATCGTGCACCAAGAACGGCACGTCGGGGTCGAGGTGGAATTGGTCGGTGGGCTTGCGTCAGCGGGACACGGTTATTATGCTAGGTGCTGCACCAAAGCGTTCGAGGTGGTTGCGATGATCGATCGATCGTACTCTGTGGCAGAAGGGCGAGTCGCTTGGAGGGATAAATCCTGTCAGTATCGGGTGAACGATGCGATTGACGGTAGCAGTTTGTCGGAAAGGAGACGGGGTTGTCGAGGAATATGGGTGGTGGAAGCCGTCGTGGGAGGGTTTCACCAATCCGAGAAGCCAATGCAGGTATCATAGACAGGTACGTACCTAGCGTACCTAAGGTAGGTGCCTAAGCCCATGATTGCATATATGCATATACCAGGTAGGTACCTCCACGTAACGGAGACTCAATGGGGCCTCCCAAGGGATGTACCTATGAACAGTGAGACCCGGATATGACGGCTTCCCACAGGCAGGCCAGAACGTCAGGTACAAGTCCCCCCATGGCTGAACTAGGTGTATATACCTAGGTAGATACCTAAGGCAGCCACACTCCCCCACTTGCCTACACTAATGCATAAGCTAGGCAGGTACTATATAGCCTTATTACATATGCTAGAGGTGCCTAGGTACCTACAGGTACCTAATCCTTCTCCTTCGTAGGTAGGTACCTAGGTACCAAACCGAATGCTTCAGAATGCAGAGCAGCACGGGCGGCTATAAAATGACAAGATGCTTATGCGCACTTCACGCAGGGAGTTGCACATGGCTTCTCGCCCGTCGAGATGCGATACGGTTGAACTCCCTGCCGTCCATTCTAGTGACGTAAGCATGTACCTCCGTCTGTCTATCGTTCTATTAATGGAACCCTCTACGCCGATGGTGACTGCAGGGGTGTGGAGGGGTCTGTCTGCCTGCCTAGCGGATCGGCGTCCGGCTATAGCCTACTACTCTCCAGGTGCCTTGCCGTAATCGGAAAAGGGCACCTATCTTAGGTAATTATAGGTACTACCGTATACCTAGGTACCTACCTACCTTACATCTCTCCTCGCAACCCTCGTATGTTCGTAGTTGAAGCGACGGGTCTTTGGAAGTAGGCAAACTGTAGGCGGCATGATATCAATACTTGCTACCTTAAGTAGGTAATAGTATAGGAGGTATAGACAGGAAAAGCGGAACCCCGCTCCCGCTTATCGCCTTATACATGGTAGGTATGCATGTATGCGCACATGCGACAAACCCAAACGGACCGTGGGGTCGACCCACCTTACCGCTTCTAGCCAGCCTAGGTACATACCTGTACCTACTATACATGTACTACAGGTAGGTAGCTCCCCTAGACGCAGACCCATCAATAGTGGCTATCAATGTGGCTGTCGATTCGGACATGTACAGGTAATGGCCTGCACCTCCGATCTACCAACAAACCTCCCTCCTCCGCTCTCGCCGCTCAGCGCGCACCGGCGAGACTCTCCTCTCGCGCACCCGTACCGACCCGTGCCCGACCCTCTCGTTCTCGGACCTGCCGGCCGCCCGCTTCATCTGCCCAGAAGATGGTGAGCCAGCAGCAACAACCGCTTCCCCACCCGACGATGTCGCTAACCCGTGCGCGCAGCCGCCGAAACGCAAAGCCCCCGCCGCCGAATCCTCCTCCTCGTCTTCCGCGCCGAGGGAGAAGCCGTCGAAGCTGGCCAAGGAGCACAACATCTCGGCGCGCGAAGAGCGCGAGATCAAGGAGGCCTTCGCGCTGTTCGCCGAGCCCCTCGACGGCGAGAAGGACGGCGTCATACCGACTAAGGACGTGCGGCGCGCCATGATGTTCGCCTCCCCCATTCTCCTTCTTCTTCTCCCTCTTCCCCTCCCCCCTCCCCTTCCACGTATACATACCTACCCCGCCATCCGTCCGCTACCGAAACGGAGAGAGACGAGAGCGCGTTCTTAACACGTCCGCGCAGCGCCCTCGGCATCCCGCCCAGCAAGGCGGAGCTGAGAGAGTTCCTCGAGATCCTGGACCCGGACGAGGAGGGGCACGCGGCGTACGAGCCGTTCGTGGCGATCTGCGCGCTGCAGCTGCACGCCAAGGGCCCCGCCGACGCGTCCGCCGTCTCCGCCGAGGTCGACGAGGCCTTCCGCCTCTTCACCGGCGGCGCCGACGGCGCCCCGCTGACCCTCGCCCACCTCAAGCGCGTCGCCATGACCCTCAAGCAGGACGTCGACGAGCAGCTGCTCAAGGACATGATCCTCGAGGCCAACGGCGGCGCCGGCGTCGCCCGCGGCGTCTCGCGCCGCGAGTTCGAAGACGTCATGAGGCGCGCCGGCGCCTGGAAGTGAGCTCCCCCACCCCGTCCGAGAAGAAGACGAGGAGGAAGAGGAGGAGGAGACTTGGGTGACTGGTTTGCCGGCCTACCGCTCCGCACGCTTCCCTCGGACGAAAACAGCGACCGGTCGGTGAAACAAGCAAACAAGCGAGGGTATACCGGGCATGTGGTGGATCAGGAGGTGGGGGGAGGGTTTATATGGCGAATGACACCCCCCGCCCCTCCCCCGGCACCTGTGGTGATGTCAGGAGGCCAACACGTAAGACATCAAGTCACCGCCACCACGTCTCCTTCTCACCTTCCGCTTGGGGCGGGGAAGGCGGTACCAGTCTCGAGACCCCCTTCGGCCGGCGGTCGCGAGTGGTCACGAGACCCCCTTTTCGAGGCGAAAGCAGCACGCGGGCGGACTCGGGCATGCGGAGGGCCCAGCAGCCGCGAGGCGTCCGCCGACTCCCGCCAGGCCGAAGCGAACATGAAACCCCGGCGGGCCTCTGGCACAACTGCGCTTAGCTTGCGGATTTTTATTTTTATTTGCGTATGTCTTAGCATGGACGCTAGAGGCTCGCAAAATATCACAGGGGCGAAGGAAGGAGATTGCCAATAAATATGTAGGGACGCTGCTACGTGGTGTGGCGGCCGTCAGGAATACGTGGTTATATATAGGTACCTAAGCTAGGCCACAAGCTACCGCCAACGCTGAATGCTCCGTGTCCCGTCCCCTGGGTAGTTCCGAGGTATTCCCATCCTCCTGTCCCACGTGCCCGGAACGTAACAGTATCCCCTCGCTAAATCCCCGTACTAGGCCGTGAGGAGGTATTGGCGGAAAAATGGCTGCTTCCGGTATGATTTAGTAGTCCGTCCAGTGGGCACGAAGACACGAACGAGACTTTGGGGGCAAGTGGTACAGACAGGACGAGGACGTCGTCTACTATACATCTGAGTGATGTGGAAATACATACCCCGTACCTTCGATATGGACCCGGTCGCGTCGGGGTTTTCTGCAGATCGCCCTGAAGTAGCCCCTACTCCATGGGATCTGAAAGTAGTGTGTACATGCTATGCTTCCGTTTCCGTTTCTGCTTCCTCCGTCATTCACGTGAATCTTCTCACGCCCCCCCCCCCCCCCTCTCCTCTCCTCTGCCATTTCCCCTCCTCCCATTCCTTCCCCTCCTCCCATCTTCTCCCCTTCTGCCTACTCCGCCGCCGGCGTGGCTGTAACATTCTCATTCTCATTCTTCTGCTCCTCCTCCGCCTCCTGCTTCTTCTTGGCGGCAGCGGCTTCCTGGGCACGCTTTTGAGAGTCGAGGACGGCGCGGAGCTCGGGCGGCGGGTTGAAACCCGGGTGGTCGGCGTGGCGCTTGTAGAAATAGTTGTCGGACTTGGGGCGCAGCTCGACCGGCAGCTCCTCAAGCACGGCCGCGAGCATCCCGTCGATCGACTTCTGCTTCGACGAGTCTCGGTGCCAGATTGACACCAGGTGCGAGTTGAAGCGTACCGACAGTCCGACGCCACAGATCGTGTCGCCTGGTAAGCACGGGGTCCAAGTTAGCTAACTACCTTTTTTCCTTCTTTTGGAATAGGAAGGGGAGGGGGTTAGCGGGAAAGACGAGGGGCAAGAGGAAGAAATACCTTCTTCGAGGGCCTCCTGGAGTTTCTCGCCGATGGCCATCAGCTGGATGCGGGTCCAGAAGTCCGGGCCGGAGCTCTTAGGGACCCGGAATGTCCAGCTACCGCCCTGGATGTTACGGCGGTCTTCCCAGATGGGCCTGTAGCCACTTTTGAAGAGGTAGATGGACTCGCGCATCTTGATCTGGTCGACGGGGGTATTGTTGTTGTAGCGCCAGAAGTCCTGGACCGACTCGATCTGAGTGCCGAGCTGCTCGAGGGACGCCTGGTAGTTGGTGTTACCGCTACTACTGCTCTCGTTGTCCTTCTTCGCCGGCTGGTCCTTAGCCTGCCTGATGGGGGGATAGACGTTAGTTACATTATTTATATTCCTTGAATCGGTGCATCAGGAGAGGGGGACCGGGCGTGCCTATGGTTACATGATATATATATGCCCACAACAGCTAGAATACAGATACACACACATACGCACCTATCGAAGTAGACATTCCAGTAGTGCTGGGTGGGCAGGGGCCGCATGGTCTTGAGGAAGTTTCGCTTCGCATCGTCGCGCTGGTCGGCGGGCGAGCTGACGCTGGGCGAGTTGGCGTCGGTGCTCTGGGAGAGGGAGGAGAGGCCCCTCGTAAACAGGCTTGGTCGCGTAGCCATGGTGATAGCAGCTACTGCTGGAGGTGCCCGATCTGGTTAACTTGGACTTAGCTGGGTTGCGAAGGGATGTTTTGCTGTGCTTTTGTGTTCACCCCTACCGACAGGTTGGGAAAGGAGGGGTCAGCGGCGGTGTTTAGTGGTGGTATTTAGTATTCAGCAGTCTGTGATGAAGGTGTTGGTGGTGGTGATGACGGTGGTGGGGTCCGGACTTGCTGGGCCTATAGGAGGCTCCAGGATGCGGTGCGGGTTAGGCGGTAGGGTGTAGAGCCAATCTATGCAAGCCAACCACGGTCTTACAGGGGGAAGAGAAGCGAGGCAGAAGGGGGGAGGGGAGGGATTCTCGTCGTTCGAGATGATCATCTACTCACCTATATTAACCTTCCACGGCAGGGCAGAAATGCAGAAAGGAGAGAGAGAGAAGAAGACACTGCCTAGAAGACCAAGGGTGGGCGTTGTCTCAGATGCTGCTGAAAAGCCGCGGACTGCTATGAAAAGAGAGAAAAAGGAGAGATGGGGGATGAGAGAGTGAGAGAAAAGGTAGCGAGCGTAAGAGGTGTATAGAGATGAAAGAGAGAGCGGACGGTGTGGCAGGTAAATAAAAAGGCACAGCCAGTATGAGCTGGGTAGGTACGATATAGTAGTATGCCTACCTGCCTCTGTATCTCAGGTTACCTGGCACTGTTGGCACTGTTGGCACTGTTGGCACTGTTAGGCATATCGCACCGCGTACAGCAGTGTAGCGCACTGTGGGGCATTGTGTCAACGGGCATCGTCAAGCCATCCATCGTACTCATAAGTAGGTATTGGAAAAGAGCATGGGCAGCGTAGCGTATCATAGGCTTATTTGAAGCAAGGGGACATTCCGAGCTGGTGCTTCTGAAACAGGGTGCTGCTCAGTTTCAAGAACCGCTTGCTGTTGCCAATAAGCGATGGCTAGCTACGAGTTGCACCATGCCTTAAGTACCAGTTTGCTCATTATAGATTCGACTATCTACCTGTCGTGAGCCTCTGCGTATGACCTAATATACATTGTAGTGTTAGGTAGGCATGTACTTGTCAGGTATCTGCCTTATGGTATACTTACCTTAGGTACCTATGGGTAGCCTGTAGGTACATAGGTATAATATATATATACCAATGGGCACGTTGAAGGCCTTTAATAACCCGATTGGCTCGAGACTTCAGCTCTGACGGACCTAGGTACCTAGGTACCTACCGACAAACCGCCTCTTCGCGATACCTGTCACCATCTAAAAATATCCTTTGCTCTTCGCCTTGGGCTAAACACGTGGGCGGTAACGATAGATACCTCGGGCAGGACGGGATGGTTATGTAACCTGGCTGGTACCTACGGGAGAACCAATATCAGAAATTAGCAGGTATTCGCGAAGCCGTCTCCTGTCAACTTTACCTACATCGGCATGCTCGAGGTCGACTCGCCTGCTTCGCCCTACCTTAAGCACCTAACCTAAACATATGCTCAACGGGCAGGTAGTAATCGCGCACAGCAAATACGCAGGTACACAGAGCATCATACATTTACCGCCTATTAGGTACCTACCCTTAGGTGGGCGCGGCAGTACCCTTAATCATATACATCTAGGTACCTCTCCTACCCCGCTAGCATGAACGTCACAAACCTTAGATGCCTCCCCGAGGAGATATAGCGTATTATGCATACTCTTATGCTGCTTATTGGGGGTTCGGATGAGGTCGCCACGAGGCCGCAAGTATCGGCCCCGTTGCTAAATACCTCCTAGCCTTAACTTAGGAAAGCCCGAAGCCCCCCGTCTTGAAGTGGCCTGGCGTACTGCAGCCAGCCGTTCAATCCCATTGTCCCTCGGTTTGAGGTTGCGGGACGCTCTACCTAAGCCCGTTGATCCCGCGTCCCCGAGTCTCACAGTCGTCCCATCCGACATCCTAAAGCCCCCTTGACAATTACCTGCCGCGAGGTGTACAACCGGCACCTGTCCATACAGGTATGTATAATATATGTATATATATATATATACTACACACCCTGCCTGCCTTGGGTAATAGGTAGCCCAGCTTGGGGAGTGTGTCAAGTCGGAAAGCCTTGCGATTCATCCGTCTCTCCTTAGCCTCGTCTTGGCCCCCTCCCCCCCTTTTCCTAAGACACCAAGAACCAGGTCCGTTCGCGGGAGAACCTCCCGAGTATCACATAGACACCGCTCGTTCGGCGTGTTCGGCGGAAGCCCAGCGAGGCGTCACATGTACGAAGCAAGGTCGGCACGAGGCTTGGCTCTGTGTGTTTTCATCGTGGGGGGATGTAGGCCAGAGACGAGCTGGACGGAGAGGAATTGTCATAGCTAGTAGCATCTAGACCTCTGGGGATTTTGAATCGGTTTCATTGGTTCTTGGATTATGGTTAAATGATACAAATCGTAGAGCTTGGGGTTTAGAATAGGTCGACTACCATACTGCAGCTACTTTTAGACTCCTATCTGGTAATTTCTGCTTCTCGAGTCGGGCGTTTTCCAGTGACCGCGTCAGGACCTCGCATTGTCCGGCCTCTCCTCGACAACTGTCCACCCATCTGTGTATAGATAATGCCAGGCTTTCTCTCCTCATGCCCTCTCTCCTCCTTCCTTCTCCACCGCGACCAACAGAAGGTATCTGCAAACACCGGCCACCAGAAGAATCTGGCGATGAGCGAACACAACGAGCGCACGCTAGCGTTCAGTATAATAGACCTCTCACCCCCACCAATGAATCGGTCCCAAACCCCCACGAACTAAAAGGGGAAAAAAAAAGTACGAGCAGTATGACGCCAGCTGAAGCAGCTTGCTCGATGGAATGGATCAAATGAATAGTCGCCCAGCCCAGGTCCGATAACCTACTCCCCGAGAGCAAGCTTAGACCACCTATGACCACGCGGTTATCAAAATGTGTCAACTTGCCAACCCGGAAGCCGTTTGGCTTCTACGATGTGTTGTCACATATAATCAGCCTCCAGTGGGATGAGAAGGAAAACTTCAAAGGGGGGGGGGGGGGGGGGGTTGTGTATCGCCTCGTGACATTCCGTTCGATAGTGGCGTGACAAAAGAAAAGAACCGTGACGCGAAAAACCAATGGTATCAGAGCGCAGACGCCATGTTCGTGATATGCTTGCTTTCGCCATGCAATTCAACTTATGAATCAAGTCGATCAAGTAGACATTATGCTGAGAACGCCTTGTGAAATGAGATGACGCGAGATTGGTGACAGTGTAGACGTGGTTATTGCGAGGCGGCAACACACCAGTGACGATGGAACGCCCAAGCACTCTTCTGACACTCCTTGCTACAGTACTTCGTTCGGCGGCACCGACGGCACTTAGCAAACTGCCTCGTAAACTCTTCCCACTTTCCGCACTGGTAATACGCGCATTGTCGAATGCCCCCTCGGGTGTCGTCCTTGCGGCAGAGGTTACGCATCACGACGCCAGCCCAATACTGCATATCGTTGCTGTGATACCGGACGGTAAACTTCTCGACCAGGGGGAAGATGTTGAAGTCGTTAGGAAGAAGGTATTCCTCCTCGTACTCCTCTTGACTCATAGATTCTATCGTGGCATTCTCATCGAGCAGTTGCAATTCCTTCCCGATCTTCAATCGCGGCACCAAGTGGCTCTTCTGGAAATAGGATCTCAGGTTGCAGTATTTCGAAACATACGCAAGCAATTGAAGCGACATCAGCACATCTTCCTCTCTAGGCATTGCCGCCAGCATTTGTGGGTTGGGGGGGAGCGGCCGGTCTAGAAGATAGCGAGGCACATTCGCGTGGGTTGGCAGGGAAGGCTGGGGGGTAGGCACAATGGGGCGGTTCGGGGAAATGCCCATTGCCGGACCGGGCGCCGGGGCGTTATTCGGAATGCTGCCATCCATGGGGGCTCGATGGGTGATGTTGAAGGTTCCCACATCTGGAATTTCAGACACCGTCGGCGTTGTTAGGTCAAGGGCGGCGCCAGCCAAAGCACTGTCACCTTCTTCCATGGCGATATCCTGGAAACCCACTGCGGGAAGGTTATCGGCGGCGCCAGACATATCGGCGTCTTGGGACTCGTCCGACTGCACGCTCTCGGTAGCATTCAACTCATCCGTGTCAGTCGTAGAATTCTGATGGCGTATGGAAGGACGCCGCCTGAGCCGGCTGTTCTGTGCTAGAACCGAGGTGGGCCGGAGCGTGGGAGAAAGATTCCGCGAAGGTGGCAGAGGTGTTGTAGGAGATGTGGGTTGTGAGGGCAGTAGACTAGGGTGGAACGCTGGGACAATAGACGATAGTCGATCGATATCTCGGACGGGGCGGATGAATCCATCGACTGCCTCCATAGTGGGCACTGCGCTGGCTAGAGGTTGGATTACCTGTCGAGCAGGCGACACGATATTCTGATTGGTCTCGTGCCTATGGTGATGATGGTGATGATGGTGGTGGTGGTGATGGTGGCGATTGGGGAAAGTTGGGCGGTCCGGAGGAGACGTAACGGGGAAGGGTACGTTCGGTACGACTTCGGTATTGGCCTGCTCGGTCGCGGCCGACGTACTCGCGAAGGAGGCAGCTGAGACATCGATGGACGGAGGCGGGGCCTGTCGGCGGAATGCCCTCTGCTCGAGATCGACGCGTGCAGATCGATTGGCAAAAGATGATTTGAACGAAGGATCGCGATGGCTGTGACTCCGATGGCGATGGTGGTGATCAGCAATTTGCTTCTGCTTAGCTTCCTCAGCTTTTTCACGGCACTTCTCGATGACCTTGATGTAATTGTCGAGTATCGTCGCGATGACTGGGACCATGTCTGCCTCGACCACCCGAGTTCTTACGTTCTCGGTCCCGCGAACTCCTATGTTCACCACGCATTGGAAGGCGAGATTCCACTTCCACATATCCATCATGTCCTTACTCCGCCCCTGTTTCAGGATGCATACCAACCTCTCGATGCCTCCATCGACTGTCAGAATATCGCGGATGCGGGCGGACGACGTGGTCAGATAGGCGAGGTGGTTGAGCGAGTTGATTAGGGGAAGCGTCGAAGTACAATCTAGAGCCCGCCGGTCATACAAGGCGGTGGTGATGCCCACCGACGCCTTGTTGACGTTGGGGATGCTGAAATTGACCTCCCTCATGCTGTGTGCTGCGGAAACAAAACCAGGCCCGAACGACGACGATGGCGGCAGCGGCGGCAACGACGATGGCGGACTTGGATGACGGTGCCGGAGGGGATAACTAAGAAGGCAGGAAGACGTCTTCAGGTGCTACTGTGTGGATGACAACACCAGCTTCTTCCTAATAGGCGAGTATCGAAGAGACACGGGCCACCTCTTTAATGGATTTGAGATGAACGCGTAGGAGGAATCAATGCGGAGAGTTAATGCAAAGTACAAGGGAGGGCTGGTAAAATTGTGTGTGTGGGCGACGGAATTCGGAAACCGATGGCACTGAACGACGGCTCTGAACAATGCGTGGTAAGGAAACCAAGGCAATTCTATTCTCGGCGCAATTGTTCGCACAACGACCTCGACGCTGTTAGTGTCGTGATGTCAAAAATTTTCCCCTTCTCCCCGTATCTGCTTATTCTGCTCTTCCGAAGGTTCCCTCGTGGCAGACACGCGAGTTTAGGGCGGTCGGGTGGAGAGGGAGAAGTAATTGAGTGATAACCCAAACGTTCGATCGCGGCTCGGGGACTGACGAACTATGCCCAAATGCCTCAAACCGCCCGCCCCTGGAGAGACCTAAGGACGACGAAGGCGGATGGACGGACGGAGAGACGAAGAGAGAGTGCGTGCGAAAGAGAGAGCGACTTCGTTCTGGAGGCCCGAATCTCCAAGCGCGGCGGACGTCTATGTGCAGATGGAGGACCCCATCCAGAAGAAGAAACGAGAAGAAGGGACAGAAATTACGGAGGGACGGGGGAGGAGAGATTTCGCAGTGGTAGGAGGATGAGGCAGCGATTTCGTTTCGGGGAGGAGGGGGGGGGGTGGTTGTGAAAGATGGTTGGGTGTACCGGAGGAAGAGGATGAACTGACTGGGAGGTAGGTTAGGGGAGATTTTGGGAACAGAGGGAAAGGAAAAGGGAGACGGTCCCGCCCGGGTACAAGTTTGCAGCTAGAAAAAAAAAAAAGAAGAGTGAGAGGCGAGAGAGAGAGAGAGAAGGCGGGCAGGGGCACCCTCCTGGCTGCAGCGGGCATGCTGCCTAAGCTGCGCTGGGTTGCGAGGAGGCGTATGAGGTACTGCGGTACCCCCTCTCTCTCTCTCTCCTCCTCCTCCTATTGCAACTGAGTAGCGTGGCGGTACCTGATCGGGTACCTACGTGGGTGCGCTACCTGATGGATGTACATTGCAAGTTGGGATACGGGTACGTGGTACCTACATAGAGGTAGGCACTAGGTTAGGTACCTTGCCGGCCTACCAGAGGGAATCTTGGGTCCATAGGTAGGTAGTTGACCCCCCATTAGTACCTACCTAGGCACGTATCGATTGCACTATATACCTCCTACCTTGGGTACCTAATCTGCCTCCAGCCCTGTGGTCCGACGGATGGAAGTATGGAACTTCTGAGGTTCTAATAGCCAGGGGCAGGCAGGAGGCGGGCACACATGGACGTTCCCGTGACATGCATGTACCTCATCCGTATAACCCATCCCCCATACCTATACATAGGTCTATCAGTATAAGAAGCACCTGGGGCCAGGGGTTAATAAACCCACCAGCCGGGGCCGCCGGAGGTCCCTACAACATGCCTTACTCACTTCTCCCTTTCTCGACGCAGACCCGTGCCTGGGCCAGTACCTGAGAGCTATATCGGACAGGTATAGACCTTTGGCTAGCGCCAGGGCTCGCTCTCAACTAACCTAGGTACCTAACTTTGGGTGCCTAACCTAGGCATCTCTACGCTGCCTATATTGCGTACATCCATTCCATACCCATACCTGCAATGCCTCCTAAACTCATACTTACCTACGTACCTAGCTCCTAGACAGGTAGCCTGTGCAACGTATGCATATATCAGATCGGATTTCCCAGGGTTCGCGCTGCTCAGGCTGCCTTATATACTCTGCCTGGACATATGGAAACGTTGCTGCGAACATCCATCGATCCCTATGGATCGGCTAGGTTAGGTACATCCATCTATTGGAATCTTGCGACAGCAGATAATATAGCCTGGGCCACTGACGTCCGTTGACCCGGACTAGGCTAGCCGCTAAGATTGGCTGCATACCTGCCTACATACATATGTAGGTACCTACCTTAGGTACCTGACGTCCTCTACCGCAGACCACTACAGGCAGGGGTAGGTACTTACGCTGCAGAGCCAGTGGGTGGGTAGGTCCCTATGCCACACTACGCAGGTTGAAAATTTCGTTCACGCTGCCGGCCCTTCAGCATGCATGGTATCGGTATGCATGGGTGGATATATTGTACAGGGAAGCCCTTTTCCCCCCCCCCATAGGGCATGAGAGCAAGGGACGAGCACGGCGATTCGAACGGCACGAATTTTCATACGCGAAAATGTCGATATCTCTGCTGGGCCGCGCACCGACCTGAGGCAGTCAGTATGTGTCCCAACTGTATTCTGTATATAACATCCCAACTGTATTCTGTATATAACATCCCAACTGTATTCTGTATATAACATCCCAACTGTATTCTGTGTCGACGTTCCGTCAGAAGAGGGTTCGGAACTAATCCCATCAAGCTCAGCTAACTCGAGGCACCTGGTTTCGACGCACGCGTGCCCGTCTCCCATTGGTATGGATGACCGCCATCGGTAGGTGGGAGAGACTGCCCAAGGTAGCATCACAACCTGCACGCACAGAAGTTGAGCTTATGTGGCTGCCCTACCTCATGTTCATGCTCGGGTGGCTCTTCTGAGGCGGGAAGACTAACGTGTAGTTGGACTTGCCTTAGACGTCCATCTGCATACGTACGCTGTGACCTGCCTGGCTGGTTAGGTAGGGAGGCAGCATGTAGGTGTGGCAGTATCCTCAACCACTGACAGGGGCGCAACTGATGAGCCCTTACAATCGGCATTGGCACTGTCTGCCCAAGGTATACGAGTGATTCTGGTTTTCGCCAGACACCACATGCCTAGAATTCAAGTCAGGAGGTTATCGGCCGCGGTCCCGTGAGTTGAAGATTAGGCGGAGGAGTAAGGAACCGAGTCGAAGTGGTTTTCTCCCGGAGTTTGGTATGCCTCGTATGCTCGTTCTCTCAGTTGACCCGACGTTGCCGAATATAGCATAGGGGGAGACCGGGTCTCTCCGTCGCACTTCGGCAAACTGCCCCCGTCTCACTGGTCGGAAATACCACCTATGTAAACATCTCTTTTTTTTTCGAACCATCCAGACATTTATGCGTGGCTATGGCAAAACCACTCTCTGTCCCTAACCAGAGTCAGCCATGTGTACCGCGTTAGGCGACTTCCTCTCCTCCTCCATCACGTTGTTGTTGATCATCTCGCCGTGGCAAATAGGTCGAACATCGGGACGTCCCAAAAGAAAAAAAAAAGGTCTATTGGTTGGTAAGCCCTTATTAGCAGGTAGGTAGGCAGGTAGGTTATGTAGGCATCTCCTGTTCAGCTCTCCCGTTTCACGTGAGAGTGTTCGACCCTTGAGGCACGTCACGTTGCGACTTGGGCGACATCTATCTTTCTTCACACACACAACATCGATGCTGCTAGATTGGCCGTAGCCAGCAGACGCATCGGCGAGCCTCTACTAGTCAACGGCAAGAGTTCCATGTCATATGTACATGTAGACGTTATGGGATGCCGACTGAAATTCGAAGCCAGGCGTTGCATGAGCGGAAAACCGAAACCGCTTCTCTCCCCCCCCCCTCGTCCTTCGCGTTCTCTGAACAGGGATTTCGGGCGACGATCTTCAATCCCAGTTAAGGTTAAACACATATGTATGTACGTATACGGATGGATGTGTGGAAAGGTGGATGGATGAATCAACGTACGCAGAGATCAACTCAGTTGGCTTGTCGCTCGCCACCCCGCTCCTCGTCCCCGCTCCGGAGGGCCCTTCATCATCAGATTCGGAGCAGAGACGCAATCCCCAAGATGATGTTGGCCGCGGTCCACCTCCCCTTTTCCCCACCCTCTCTTCTCCCTCCTCCTCCTCCTATCTCCAACCCCCTAGATGGGCGTGGGAACGTTGGTGATAACCATCTTCTAGGACAGTAGGTATAGCTACTACCATCTACAGTGATCCCTACGCTCTTGACGGCTAATTCTCCCGCGGCTCCCTCGAACGAGTTTCGACCTTCAGTTGCATATATGTGTGTGGTACATGCTGGGGAGCATTCCCTCCTTGTCCTCATTGGGCTGACATGCTTCTTCAACTTCTGGGAAGACTTTTCTTGGCTTCCCCGCCTCGCCCGTTAAACAGGGGATCGGCCGCGATCCTGCTGTTCTCTCCATAATCTGCATCCTACGCCTGGGTGGTATGATGGCCGGGGTTGCCTGTGTGTAGCCAGGAAGGATACACAAGGCGGTAGAAGATGGCGTAGCAAAGTGAGATGCGAACGAGATTCGACGATTCTCTCGCCTCCCTCCCATCGTGAGCGTACGCAAATCCTCATACAAAGGTCGTCGTCGGTATGTGAGTGGCGCTCTATTGGCGCATGCCGAGTTGAAGCCATCCGTCACCGGTCTCTCGTCCAAGACAGACGATGATGGGGCGGGCAGTACTACGCACGCAGGTTAGGCCAACCTCGGAGCTTGGGCCGGCGTTCACGAGTCGGGGAAAAAGGAAGAGAAGGGAGAACGATCTACCTGGGCGACCAGCCAAGTGGGCTAGACTATAGCCATCCAGTGTCACATCGCAACCCATACTACTGTATGTACGTGGGAATCGCGTCACGGATTGGCCCCTTGGCGCCGATTGGAAAACGGTGGTTTGTTTCCAGCCATTCGCCGTCGAGCAGCCAAGTAACGAGACCCCCGATATCCGTCAAGCGACTTCTCCCTCTTACTGTTCTCCTTCCCGCTCTCCTTTCCTCCCCCCCCTCCCTCTCTCTCTTCTCTCTCCTCGTCCCTCTCTCCGAGATTTATGCGGTACCTACTTTAGGTACCTAGCTGGGCACGTCCGAACATCGAGTACCTTAGGTACCTACCTACCTACCTGTTAGGTGCCCAAGACAAATGGCAACCGTAACAATAATTTATACCGTTCAACGGATCAAATTGCAGGTCGCGAGGGACGATTCAACTATACCTCTAGTTAGGCAGGCAAGAATTGTATGCTGTGCGTCCATAATCGTCATCCGACGGCCGGAATGGTCCAGAGCAGGTACCTACCTAGGTACCTAGCTATCTCCTAACCTTAGGTATGTACTTCCTACTTACCTTAGGAGGTACCTCTCAAGGCTGCTGGGTGCCTCGAGAATGTGCGTACCTACAGGTACCCAGATGGAAGTCGATTCAGGTAGGTATGTTAGGTACATACCTCCCTAGGAGGCACCTACCTTAGGTAATGTATGCACCACCAGATAAGATTCGGTACCTGCATACTGCCGGAGATACAGATGGATTATGGTACCTGTTGTGTCCATTGTATGAGTATCCATTGCGGGCGGTTGATTGTTGAGCATGTTACTTAGGCGGAGTACCTACTTGCCTCTAAGGCAACCAGCAGGCACCCGTGTACGCATACAGGTACCTTTCATCAATTTGGAACCTGGATGGATTTCTATAGAGACTTTGGTGAGGTTCCTACCTGCATCCACCGCGGATTGTACTATAGGTACGTACCTATGTATATAGATGTAGGTGTGCTGATGGACAGACAGCAAAAGACCGGGTCCAGACTTCGTATTGATTTGCCTGCACCTACTATTAGAAGGAACATCTGTGCGATGCATCGGCGGTTCCTGACATCCATCCCGAAGCGGGGGCAGTAGGTCCTTCCCAACTGAAGCTCGGTCTGTCTACGTTCAAGAGCTGTCTGTCCGCCAACGTCCTCTTCATCTGCTTGCCAACGCTCCCGACATCTGCTTCCAGCAAGGGATAATGGCCCCGACGTGTCCCAGACGGGCGCGCTAGACTCGCGCAGAGATCTCATCCCACGCCTTCGCCCCTAGAATGGCCACGGCTCTTGGAATACCAAGGCAAGCCAAATAAATAGCCCAAGCCGGCGCCTACACGGCTGGCGCGATCCCGGATCTATCCAAGAGATATACCCTTGGAGATACCTAGCCACCCTCGTCAACCCGCGATAATCCAGAGCCGGCGCCGTAACGAAAGCGGATTCCATGTCTTTACTGGGATTAGTCCGCCCTCGATTCGCCGGTTGCTCCGCCTTCAATCCACCGCGGCGGCTGGGTAGCTTATGGAAATAATAAAGAACCCTAGATGCTGGGAAGGGTGCGACGCTGAACCCGCGTACCGACGGCATCTTATGATCCTACCGTCCTCGGACACGATTGGTCTGCACGAGGCCCCCTAACGGCGCTTACAAACCGCCCGCCTCCTAACCATAGTCTGGTACTGCATAGCATACCTACCTCACAGTAGTACCCTCGACGACAAGCACAGTCAGCCGCGCCTTGGCTGACGAGCCCTCTCCCATCTCACCCGCCACTCTGACGCGACCGAGTCGCAACGGCTCTGAAGTTGTGCGAAGATGGGTCGGTGGGTCCCCGAGGTATATATATGTAATAAAAAAAGGGCCAAGCAATTGACCAGTCTGTGCATACTTGACAGCAGTGCTCAGTGCGTTCGAGCCGCGCACATGCAGCGATAAATCTGACGGGGTTGACTTGACGGCTCAACGGTTTCTTCGGCAGTAGGAATGGCGTACCTAGGCAAGGGTGGCTCAGGCCTCACATATGGAGCCGAAGGGGAAAAAAAAAGGTGCCAAGACTAGGCATTCGCAAACAGCAGGCAAGGAGGGCCGGTCTCGCAATGATCTAGATCTGACGTCGCATTTCGAGTCTTGTCTGTCAGCCACCGAAACCCAGCCGCCGAAGAATTCGAGTCCGCGCACGCCTCTCAATTACAACCCGCCCACCGGGGCTTCGGCTCCTCACGGATAGGCGTCTGGGAGTGAACACAAGCCACCCCAACGCTAAGACATCGATTCAGCCTCTCGAGTTCCTTCTGTCCTGAGGTATTAATATGCCAATACCTCTCGAATCATATGACTGCAGAGCTTGGTCTTTGTTCCACCGGGGCGGCGGCCCCCAGCCGTGGCAAGCACCCTGGTCAGCCATGAGCGGGATGAAACACCGCCTGTCTCGGTGATATTACACGGGAACAGACAACGAGCTGTGGACAAAGCCGCCTAGAGTACACCACCGACGGAACGCATGGCGACTTTTTCGGCATTGATCTTCCCGCCGACGTTCTCCAAGCTAGTCGTCTTACCTACGAGTACAGACCAGTACTAAATAGCACTTGCCGCAACGAGCCTAACCTAGGCGAGCTTGCTCTCTGCTACGATTATGATCGTTCGTTTAGTGATCCTTCGAGGGGCTGAAGAATACTACGCAACACGGTAAGTCTGTTCAACCCCCACCGTTTCCCGCCGTGCATAAGATATACACCTATGTCGGTACGTACGACGTATGAGAGAGGGCGGATTATGTACGGCATGGAGCTGAGCGAAGGTGCTCCCATCCTAATGTCGTCACGCCGGCACCCACGAGGCTCGGCCGCTTCGAACCCGAGTCTACCCCAGGGCAAGTCTTGTCGCCATCGGCATCCCAGCAGGCCGCCTCCGCGTCTCCCAGATACTGTTGAGCTCCCCCGTGCTCGGGTTACCGCCGGGGTTCGGTTCGAATCGAGAACGCTGTTCACCTCTATATCGCCTTGGTTCACCGCCATGTCGTTATGTGACGATTACAGATGGGACGATGCTCCCCCGCTCCTGTTTGGCCACGGGACTTCTCGCCTCTCCTTCAATATCTTACGTTAGACCTTGTCGCCGTAAGAGACTCAGAGGAGGGGAGGAGATCTTAAGTTTCACTGAACACGTGATGCATATATATATATCCAATACGCCGACGCGCTTAGGGTTGATAAGACGACAGGTAAGCCGCCTAGGTAGTATAGGGACATGTACAATGTAATGCCCATAATGTGAACACATCATACCAGTGGGACGCCTGACCTCGATGAATACCGTTCCTGCCAATAGATGGGTTTATTTTGAGCTCTCAAGTTCTATTGTGAGTTATGTATGTACCTATACTTAGTCGTTGGGGGTTTTTACTGTGGGAGTAATTACTAGTTACGTGCTCCTGCGTCCCTTGCGATCAACGCCTTCGTCGCTTTCTCGATCCGACCCCGGCCCGAGATTATAATATACGGGAACCACTAGCCATGTACACAGATATATATACGCACTACGCGTGTTACGCCGTCTCGAGTAGGTGGGAGCTCAGATAGCGACAGGACCTCGCAAGTCGGAGGGTATGGAAGGTAGTCTGCGCGACGGACATCCTCGTGGCCTCCGCCTACGTCCCGCTCTCCATCTATCTCCCCCTCCCTCCTCGTTAGGTCCTCTCAGGTGAGCTCCGATCAGTCGCCGCTGATCTTGGCGTGGCGGAAGTACTTCATGCCGACCCAGGCGACGACGACCCAGACCCAGGCCATGATGCAGGTGAGGATGAGGAGGGTGGGGTAGTAGCCGACGATAGGCAGCGTCGGGTCGTCCTGGAGCTCGGGCGGCGCGTAGGGCGTCGTGCCCACGTCCCACGCCCACGACCACACGTTCAGGCACGACCCCATGCCGACCACGAACACGAACCACGTCACGCCCAGCACCACCCACCCCCACCACTCCGTCTCGCCGTAGTCGTAGTCCTGGTCCTCGCGCGCGGCGGCCGCGGCCGCAGCGGCAGCGACGGCAGCGGCGGCGGCAGAGGACGAGGGCAGGGGGCTGGCGGCGAGCCCCTGCAGCGACAGCGGCGACTTCGTGTGCTTGACCGAGCGACGTCGCTGTATCGACGACGCCGACGACGACGACGAGTTGCTCGGCGCGCGCTGGGCGTAGTACGTCTCGGAGCCGGAGGACAGCTCCGGGCGCCCCGGGCGCAGCGGCGAGGGGACGCGGACGGGTAGCGAGAGGACGTCTTCCTCGTCGGTCGTGGAGGTGTAGCATATCGAGGGGCTCGTCACCTGGGCCTCGTGGTCGGGTGGCGGCGGAGACGGCGGCGGCGGCGCGGGCGCGGCAGTCGAGGAAGATAGCAGCATGCCGTCGCGCCCGGCGAAGCCATCCATCGACGGCCGCGGCGTGATGTCCGATATCCCCAAGCCGAGGCCCTCGCCCGCGGCGACCGGGTAAGGCGCTGCTGCGCTCGGCCTCGTCGGCGCCGGCTGGTGGTAGTGCTGCTGGCGCTGGTGCTCGACGGCGGCTGGCTGTGCGGCTGCGGGGGGCGCGACGTCGGCGGGCGGGGGCTTCGTCTCGCGCTTCTCGCGCGCGGCGCCGCGGCCCAGGAGGGCGACCTTGCGGAGCGAGCCCCGGCGCTTGCGGGTCTTCTGCTGGGACATGGCGGCGGCGAGGGCGCGGGGCGGCTTGCTGGCGGAAGAGACGGAGGGCGGGTCGGGGGAGGAGGGATCGGGGTGTCGCGATTCGCCGAGGCTCAGCCTGCTGCCGCCGTGGTTGTGGCTGCTGCCGCTGCCGTCGGAGGAGCTGGTGCGCAGGAAGGGGAATCTGGAGAGGATGCCGGCCCCGGAGCCGCTCCGCTTGCGCGCTCCGGCGGCAGCTATCTCGGCCGGCGACGGGGCGTCGCGGCGGCCCGGGGTGGGTAGCGGCGGCGTATTCTCCATGGCGTGGCGCGTCTCGAGCTCTGGGGTGGTGTGCTGCGCTGGGGACGGGTCGCAATGCCGGACATCATGGCCTTGCGCATGGAATGGCGTAGAGCAAGGAGGGAGGGCGGCGCCGGTGCAATGCCGTCTGTAGGAAGCGAGGAAGTTATCGCAGGCGAGACGTCGGGGAGGTCTCGGGAAGTGGAAGATGACGAAAGCTGGTTGGGGGTTACTTGTCCTACTGGTTGTAGCGGTTTAGTACCTATGCAGGTACGGCAGACTGTAGACGACCCGCCGTAGGGGATTATCGATAGGTACCCACGTCGATAATAATAACACAGTATCAACGTTACACTTATAAATAATGTAATAATTATAAATGTTTTTATAAGGTGCAACATAATTAAAATAAAGATCATTATATGGGTTTCATTATAATAAAGTAAATATTTATTACTCTAGGTGCTTATAGTGATAGTTTAATGGATGGATACCTTAGGTACCTCAGGCATGTGGGCAGGTCAGGTACTCAATGCGGTTACCCTAAATCGCCCAAGATAGTGCCTGGCAAACTACCGTGCCGACCTCCTTAGGTACCCCTGTGCCTGCTACAGCTAGCACCTAAGGTTACTACCTTAGGTACCTGCTACTCAAGTACAGGTACCTAGGGCAATCCATTGACGAGTCCTCTTGGCGCCGGAGCGCATGAGCCAAGCGCGGCGTCTCAGGCGCACTTGGCCCCTTTTTCTGCATATGCCGCCTAAAAGTGACAGCGACAGCGACAGCCGGCATCCCATCGTTTCTTCTACGTATTATTCCTGCGCCATCCTATTCCCTCTTGGGTAGTTGCTTGTACGGCTTGAAGTGACCGTCGGGAGGTATGTAGCCTATGTAGCTATGCAATACCAGTAAAAAGGAGTGAAGAGGGATTGGGGGGGGAGAAGAAAAAAAAAAGAGAGAAAAGATGAAACAACCGGATGAAATCTATAGGAATAGACACGAGATGGAATCGTCACCAACAACATCCACAACACGCGATTATACCCAACTCATTGCTACGGCTACGGGACAGAGACGGAGAAGCGTCAAGGACATTTAAACGGTTTACTGGCGACGAGGCACTCGCCATCATGAATCGTTCGCTTTCATAACTTGTCGATCGTCTTTCATTATTCTTTATTCGAATTATCCCAGCCCGCTCGCCTCGATCGGGAAAAGCGCCAAATGCTATCGGCCATGGCTCCCATCAACCGCCCATTGCGGCCACCGTCGCCAGCACCAGCAGCACCAGCGCCCGCGCCAGCTCTGGCACCGACACCGACACCGACACCGCCGCCTCCCAGGTCCATCACCCCCATCATCCAGATCCAGGACGAGGACGATCCCCCCCGGAACCACGGCCACCACTACGACCACCACTACGACCGCGACCGCGATCTCCGCTTCCAGGGCCACGACTTCGACTTCGAATTCTACAGCGACGGGGAGAGCGACTACAACGGGAGCCAGCCCGAACCCGCCCGCCCTCCATCCTCGGCTTTCCTGCTCGCGCCCGCTGGCCACCTCTTAAGACCCAACATGCCGGCCGGCTCGGGCGGGCCCAATGGCGCCTCCCCGCCCGAGGGCGCCTCGACCGTCCCCGCGAACCCCTTCAACTTCCAGACCCAGGTCATATCCACCTCCCCCGTCAAGCCCAGCGTCGGCCAGCGTCGCGGCCACAAGTACAAGCACTCCAGCATAAGCGCCCAGCACCAGATATTCCAGGAGCCGCCGCCCCGGCCGCCCCTCGCCCTCCCCCGCGACCTGCCCGTCCCGACGGTGAGGGAGGCCTGGAAGTCCATGTCCAAGGACCAGCGCCGCCGCCTGTGGTGGTGCGTGTGCCACATCCTCGTCACCGCGCTCGTCTTCCTCTCCGCCCACGGCTCCCTCTCCATGACGGCCCTCTCGCACCTCGTCTTCTTCGACGTCGGGTCGGCGCTCATCTGCGTCGCCGTCGAGGTCCTCGGCAACTTCGAGGTCTGGAAGCGCAGCAGCATCCGGCACCCCTTCGGGCTCGAGCGCGCCGAGGTCCTCGCCGGCTTCGCCCTCAGCGTCTTCCTCATCTTCGGCGGCTTCGACCTCGTCAGCCACAACCTCAAGCACCTCCTCGAGGACAAGGGCGGCCACGCCCCGCACCACCCGGACCCCCACGGCCGCCCCGGCCCCCGCGTCGCCCCCGGCAGCGTCGACATGGCGAGCCTCGCCGCCTTCGTCGCCGCCCTGGTCAGCGCCTACGGCCTGCGGAACCACGCGAGGATCAGCAAGGTCATGCGCGTGAGCTACCTGGCCAGCCTGCCCAGCATCCTCTCGAACCCGTTCCACTTCCTGACCATGTCCACGTCGGCGCTCATGGTGGTGCTGCCGCTGCTGGGCCTGCCGATCGACATGCTGCTCGACGGCGCCATCTGCGGCCTCGTGGCCGTGGCCATGTTCGCGCTCGGCGTCCGGCTCGCCGTCGCGCAGGGGCTCATGCTGCTAATGAGCTACGGGGGCCGCGCCGGCTCGGGCTCGTCGGCCGGCGGGCCGGACGTCAGCGTCGCCGAGGTGGTGCGCGAGATTGAGGCCGAGCACGGCGTCGAGAAGGTCGAGGAGGCCCAGTTCTGGCAGGTGCACTACGGGCTCTGCATGGCGAACCTCAAGCTGTCCGTGTCCAAGGGCAGCGACGACGCGGCCCTGGTCCGCCTCCGCACGCGCGTCGCCAGCCTCATCCAGAACCGGCTCGGCGAGGGCTACGGGAAGGGCGGGAGCCTGCGGTGGGAGGTCAGCCTGCAGATGGGCACGGCCGGTAGGTTTTAGGAGAAGGGGAGGAAGCGAGGGAACCTGTGCCGCGGCGCCTACCGCGCGTCCCGTCTCCGGCCCGTCTCCGGTACGCTTCCGCTGCGTTGGAACGGGGGGAGGGGCAAACTGGTGGTTATGTCGGAGCATGGTCAGCGGGCTGTGTACTCAAGCGGCTAGACGGTACAGCTTGCTGATGACGGAACTTGGCTAATTTTCTGGTTACCGGTGGGTTGTACTCTAATTGTAGGACAGCCGTCCTCGACATACCGTAGGCACGACGGCGGACCTACTTTTCGAACTTCTTGTATATATATAGATAGGAACATCATCGTCTTGGGGCCAAATCACTGTATATAAGGCACGAACGCTCGAGATATCGGGGGCGGGGGGGGGACGAAGTAATATGAGAAATAGTTAAGACCAAGCGACGACCGCTCGTTTCCGCCTAGCTCCTCGACGAGAGAGAAGGGGAGAGAGAGAGAGAGAGAGATAGGGTAAGAGAACTAGAGTAGCGGGCTCGAATATATCCGCTCAATGAACCACCACCAGAGGGAGGAATCCAACCAGCACCCGGTCGCGCGCCCCCCTTCTCTCCTCGCTGGCTACAAGGCGCGCGGGGCGCGGCCCCTAAAGGACTCAGGCAGCCTCCCCCCCCCCTTCCTCCTCTCCCCGACCCGGCTCGCGGGGCGGCTCCCGTCTGCCAGTATGCTTCCTCTCTGGGCGGCCCGCCCGGGGGGCAGGCGGGCGCCGAGAGAGAGTTCTCTCGCGCGCTTCGCCGGCGGGAAGACAGCGTGCCTGCGTCCCGAGGAGCCCGCTACCTTGCTATGCGTCCGGTCGTCTTTTGCTCCCGTCAACGCTGGACAACGACCCGCGACGGCGGCGCCGAGCAGGCGGAGACGGTGCACCTACTACCTGCGGGCACGTATACTCGGACCGGGCGGCCGGGCGGACTCGCGGGCTGCGCCTTGCTTATGACGGGAGTGAAGCGGTTGGGGGCTAGGTTTGGTATTGTTTTATTCGGGCTACATGGAAAACTGCGTAGGCAAGCCTATAGAAATATATGTGGTAAAACCGATCTACTCTGGGTAGAGAAGCGTATATCGACTTCGAAGTCCCTTCCTCTCTACTACGCGCCCCATCTTACCTATTTAGCAACGATGAGCTGCCGCCTTGCGCTTCTTGCAGATGGCCTAGCACCTACACATACATACGTCCGTGAAGCTTGTGGTTGTGGGGACGAGGAGAACGGGAGGGTGGGTCCTCGACGCAAACCGCACAGCGCTGGTCGGGCATAGGGTCCCCGCCGGTACGCTCTACATCCTTTATCCGGGTTGTTGAGAGCAGGCCGGCCCCGAGAGCCTCGATTCCCTGAACAAGATAGGGTATAGGCTTGGATGGAACGATGGGGTGGTAACGTCGAGGCGCCGCTACGAAGCCTCAGCGTGGTTGGTGTTAGCTGCTGGACACACAGAAGAGGTCAACGTGACGTTAAACACGGCCCTCGAGGGGGTGCTCAGGACACGGGGGCCTGTAGATAGATGCATAGAAACCGTGTTAGGCCCATGCATACGACGGAGCTTTTCGTCCAGCTATCCGCCATCGGACGCAAGCATGCCCTTCTTTCACCAGTTATCGTGGAGAGGAAGAAGGGTCACCCGAAGGGGTTGCAAGGGAGGCCGTAGGTTGGATATGTCCCGTGCTGGTAGTAACCGATGACGAAGGTTAGGTAGCGGTCCCTTCTCGATCTAGGTGGTCGTCGAAACTGAGGTTGCAGCCGAGAATGGTCGGGCGAACCGTTATTGACGAGAATGGACTGTTTTGCTTGGGAAAGTCTGTCTTCGGAACGTCACCAAAGCGGCGGAGAATATCGTGTAGACGCTGATACGACTTTTGGAGCCTGTCGACGGAACCTCGGCCGTGACAGAGTTTCTCTGGCAGCGCATCCTAATCGACATCAAGAAAGCAGATCATACGATTGTCGGGGCGGCCTCGAGAACTCGAGCCTATGTTGAAACTCATTATCGTGTAGGCTTTGGCGCCGTGGACAATTGACAGCCCCTACTCATCGGCAGTACCCTGAACCGCCGAGCCCGTTGCCAACGTCGAACCAACTGGCGGGATGAAGACCGGCCCTTAGCTGACCGAGATATGGTACAGAAATTCTGCTTATGCAGAGTTGCTTCCTGGGTAGCACTACGCGGAACCTGGTTCGTGGAGCAGGGGAAAGCAGGCAGAGGCTGGAGGAGGGAAAGGGGGGCATGGAGGGGGAGCGAGGCTTTGTCGACTAGTGCTCTAGGATGGGAGCACGGTTTCGTTGTCGCTTAACCGTGGAGGCATAATTAATGACGAACTCCTCTTACCCGTCTCAGATAAAGCCGTGTGCCGTTTTCCCCTTCCTCCCCTCCCCCGAGTATATTGGTGTCGATGCGTCACCCTGTGGGCGGTTGATCCTCTCTCAGCTTTACCGTCGCCTCAAAGGAGAAACCCGAACCCCTTGCGCGTGGCACATGTTGCTGGCCCGAGGCCTTAATTCCCCCCCTTACACAGGTCAGCACATGCCGTCAGTATTGCGGCACGACCTTGCCTCGCTCCCGGCCGCGCTTGGGCACGACAGGACAACAGCTTGCAGGCTTTCGTAGACGACTTATTATTATTAGTGCGCGACGACGGCATCTTAAGACAGGCGCTACGAGGCTGGTGAGTCGTCGTGGCCACGTACGTGTGCGCCCTTGTCCGAGTCGCCGCTGATTCGAGTGGTTCAGCCCGCATCTCGGGATTTACCACAAGAGCAACGAGAGACGCCTAGTACCTAGAGGGTATGTAGCGTCGGGCCGGGAGCGAAGCGGGCTGCGTAGTGGTAGTAGGTAATAAAACGAGTAGGCCTGGTTATGTATGTAGCCAAGTAGCGGTCAAACGAGGCCCCGAGGCACACTCGAGAGAGAGAGGATCGAGGACAGCATCCACTTGGGTGAATAAGAAGAGGGAGACCCTGCTATTGGGTTCACTAACGGTAGCATCTCCCCTCACCCCCCTCTCCCCTAGCCTGCCTGTGTACCAAGAGGGGAGCTGAACTGGTGGAGTTGAACAGTGTGGCGTGGGACTGTCCTGGTGGCTTTTTACTTGCTCGCTTTCTTTCTCCTCTTAGTTCAAAAGAGCCCCGGAATACGCCCACGCAGGTGAGGATACCCATGCAGAGGGAGGGGGAGACGGGAAGGTAGAGATCCGTCCCCGGCTTCGGCGTGCTGATTTGCATACACCAGACAACGTGGCACAACGTCAAGAGAGCGAATATGAAGAAACTCGTGTGCGTCGGGGCCTGCTATCTCGATACCATCCTCGAGTTGAGTGCCCCCCTACCGATCGCGTAATCAGCATGGCCTGACTTAGATCCGCCATCATCCTCGTGCAGCGTGCCTCACTACCCGGACGAGGACTCGAAATTACGTGCAACCAAGCTACAGGTACGTCGCGGTGGCAACTGTCCCAACACGCTCGAGGTGCTCCAGCAGCTCCTGGAGGAACGAGGAGGCGGCCATGATGTTATCCCCTACCTAGTGTCCTGTCTGCCCGATGCCGGTGCGCCCGCGACATCGACGATCCTGGGCTCCTTTGGGGCGGAGAGCCTAGTCGACTTTTCCCACTGCGTGTACCGCGCGAATCACAAGGAGCCAGCTAGCAGCTACATCATACGCAGCGAAGCTACGGGGAGTCGCACGCTCGTGAATTACAACGGCCTGCCTGAGATGACGATCGACGAGTTCGTCGCCGCGGCCGACGGGGTCGGCGACGGCGCTTGGTTTCACTTTGAGGTAGGCCGATCGCCATGGTCGACAGCAGGCCCGGCCCTGCAGAACGGCAAGGGACGCGCATGATTCCAGACTCACCAAGACATGCACAGGGTCGGATTCCCGAGACGGCGTTGCAATGCATCCGATATTTGAGGCAGTCGTTCCCCAGGGCGAGCGTCAGTGTTGAGGTCGAAAAACCGGGCCGAGAGGGATTGGAGCATCTGGCGGCTGAAGCGGACGTCGTCTTCTATTCGCGGAGCTGGGCTGAGGTGAGTCACCCCCTCGATGCGAATGCGAACGCGGCGGCACAGTTCCCGTGGAGTCGACGAGTTGGTAACCCGACGGTCTCTCTCTCGGGCCCCTCTCTCGACAGAGCAAGGGGTACCAGAGCGCTCAGCAATGCCTGAGTGCCCAATCGGGCGTGGCCCGGCGAGCGTGAGTTGCATCGTGTCCTGGCTCAGTTCGGTGATGCAGCCGGCAGTACGGCGGGGTGCTGAGATCAAAGCCGACCCGTGCTTGCAGGTCCCTCCTCCTGTGCTCGTGGGGTGCGGAGGGTGCGTCGTGTCTATCACTTCCTAGCGGGAAGACCGTGTCTTGCCCGGCAACCCTGCCTGGACAGACGATATCCGTGGTGGAGTATGTCAGACCGCCCGAACTGCAAAGGGACGCAGCCCAGCGACCGCGGGAAGCGAGAATTTCATGATAGCTATGCGAATCAGGTGTGGACAAGAAACGGCAGACTAACCGTGTCTTCTATACGCTAGCACCGTAGGGGCGGGTGACACCCTCATTGCCGGGATCTTGTTCGGGCTGTTGTGCCACGAGGACTGGGACGCGGAGACGAAGGTCCAGTTTGCGGTGCAGCTCGCTACGCGCAAGGTGCAACGGGACGGATTCGAGGGCGTTGGAGCCGGAGTGACGAAGTGCCTCTGAGGCGGCGTCGCAGCAAACCTGGGGCGATCGAATATATGAGATGTGACCGGGGAGGGGGGGAGGAGAGGGTCGCGCGCGAGAGAGAGCCGTGCAAGCTGCTGGTCGTGTGACGAGACAACAGTTTTCCAAGACACGAGACATAATTGTTTTTCTCCCTCCCTCTCTCTCTCTTTAATTACCTCTTCGGTATCTGCTAGGGAGAGAGACAGGCCAGTTCACCTCTTGCCCCCGTCCTTGGTCCCATCCGCCCCTACTTAAGCGCGACAGCTCGGAGGGGGTGTGGTAGATTGGATGGCGAGATGGCCAGCTCACCCGCTGCCTGCAACCGGACTATTCCAACGTAGATGGAGTTCGCATAGCTCAGACGTGTGAAGCGAAGGGAAACCAACAGACCGACCGTTCCAGAGGCTGCAGCATGGATCGATGACTCGTAATGAATGCATCTCGAAAGGGGTGGGGGAGGAAGGGGGTTGGAGGGGATCCCGTCACTTGGATTGGTAGGGCGGTGTTTTTAATTATTATTTCGGTCGTGTATCTGTGTGGGTTGTGTATGCGGTATGTAAGAGGTACCTATGTATGTGCATAGATAATAGGTAGGTATGTATAGACGTGGGTGCCCACCTACCTAGGTAGTTATGTATGCACGTATGTATGCACATGTATATGTGTGCATTACATGTGTACAGGTAATACCTATATATATCTAGGTATATAAACCTATACATATGAGTGGCTTCTGTCTGGTGTGAAAGGGGAAGGTACAAAAAGACCAGCCGGAACTGGGCCATATCGTGCTGCCACAGGGACCTCTACATATGTACCTACATAGGTCTAGGTAGGTTAGGAGTCGGCTAACGTCAAGGGTGTATACAATGAGCGGTGAAACTGTGGATCGAGCTGGCCACCAAGTCTCGCAGGAAGGACACACTACCTGCTGCCTGACTTAGCGTATGTGAGGCACCTAACGATCTTAATACATGTAATACACGGATAGCCTGCAAGTGAATGATGGAGTGAGTGAGTGAGTGAGTGAGTGAGCGAGCTGGGGGAGCAAAGGGAATGAAGTGAGAGAGTGTAAGCAAGTAAGAGAATAATAAGTGCATAGGAGAAGCTCGAGTGGGGGAGGGGATGAGGAGTGACGGTGAGGCGAGGGCGAGGGACATGTAGGTACCTAACGCGTAGATGGTTTAGGAGAGGGGACGGAGGGGAATAACATAATTGTAGGTAGGAGGTAGGTACCTGACCCTCTAGGAGGTAAGGCAGGTTAGGGTGGCATGCACAAGTACCCAAGTACATGCCTCCTATCGTATAACCTCCTAGAATCTTTGAGCTTACGCCTACCTCTACTGCCTCTACTGCCTCTACTGCCTCTACTGCCTCTACTCATGCATACATACGTAGTAGTGCTGCCTTAGGTAGTATCCGGTGGCAGCAAGATCTCTCTCTTCTTTCTTGTGGCGATGGATGTTCCTTGAGGAGTACCTAGGTTCTGATATGAGAAGCGTGTTGTCGTCGGGCTATCCCAGCGCTATATCCGTCCGTTGCATCCCACTCCTCCCCCCCCCTTTCGGCTTCGATGCAAAAAGAGGCCTTTGGTCAACGCCGGAGCTGCTTACCCGTTGCCCGCAAGTCCGGGTAACCCAGGTAGCCCGTAGGCCTCCACCTACCTACATATCTCCTATATAAACATCGTCTGCATGCATCCCTCTCTGCCGGGCGATATGACCGCACGATGAGTGACATGGGGGAACTGCTTGACGTAGGATTGCATCTCGTGAAGCTGACACGAGCCATCTCAGGTTTTTTTTCTTCTTCTTCCCCGTCTTCCCGTCTCTATGGCCACGAGGCCGCGGCTTTTCTCCCTTTCAATAGCGTCTCCCCGCCGGCCCCTCTCCCTCCCCCCGTTCCACCCCCGCCAGCTGGTTTGTACGGTAGATCCAATAATCCAGCTCGCCACACACGTAACTCCAAAAGCAACCCCTGGAGCTCTGCGGGCTTTGCGAAGCCGCACTCGCTACTGCGTATGGAGATAGATAGATAGGACACACACATAATAGACTGATATTAGTGTATACATATATATGTATATGTATATGTATGTGCGTGTGTAGTAAACACTTTACGGTATATAGTCTATGCTATTATAGAGACACGGACAGCAATATATACGTATGTACGGCGGTTGCCTCTCTGCAACCGGCCGCACGGGAGAAGAGAGGAGAGAGAGAGAGAACATTGACGTATACATATATGAGCATACGTATGCAGCCAGCATGGACAAGAGTCGACGAGCAACTTATCGAGAGCCAATTTAGGCTGGCTGTTTCATGGGGTTGTCCCCGACCGGCCCCCCTCGTCGACTCTGCCAAGGTGGAATGCTTCTCCCACGTAGTGGAAAAAGTCCTCGTCTCCATCTCGACGTTCTAGACGGGCGTGGACTTGCTGGGGTTGTCGGCCCAAGATACGCAATCAAGATATGCTACGAGCAGGCGCACGCACATATGAGTATATGCGCATGTACCTACCTAGGTAGGTAGGCAGGTATCTAATGTACGTGCATACCTACTATAGACACCGAATCTTAAGGGTGGTGTGCGCGAACGTAGGTATATTAGGCACATATCTTTGGTACCTACCTACCTACCTACCTACCTACACCTCCAGAGTAGCCCTCCCACACAGAACATTACCTAGGTACCTAGGTAGGTAGACAGGCATCTAACACAAGGCAATGCTTGGACGGGAGGGCATACCTAAGGTATGTACCTAAGGCATGTCCGTGGGCCGAGAGCAACGTGGGCCGGGCAATTCACAGAGGTAGGTACATACTTCGGAGGATAGGCGGCCGCTACGGTGTGGCCGCTACGGGCATTGGCCATCATCCATGACGCAACCCTCGCTTCTTCCCTCTTCATCTACCTACACGTACATCACCAAGGTACCTCTCCTACCCACCTACCCACCTCACGCACTCTCTCCTACATGCTACAACAGCGTGCCTACAGTAAGTGTGTGAGTGGGCGAGCGGGCGAAGCGTCTGCGAGCGGTTAGTGGCTGAGGTGTGCACGCAGCGTCGAATCGCCAACTTGTATCCTTTCGGCTCGGGAGGCGTCAGGTTCGTCTCCGCACGCGCCGCGCGCCATTCATGCTGCCGCTGTTGGATATGACGGCGTGATGACCGGAAAGGGGGAGGGGAGGCCTCCATCGCGGGCACGTCGTCGGCTACCGACGATACTTTCTTCCCTCGAGAGACCCCCGAGAACCGAGAGAGGGAGTCGGGGAGCTTGCCTGGGCGATGGGCCAGGGTGTGTTGTGTTGTGTTGTGTTGTGTTGTGTTGTGTGTGTGTGTGTGTGTGTTGCTCTTCCTACGAGCTGGTTTCCCACCGAGGAGCAGCGTATTAATGGAACGTTGATCCTGCAACCGCCCTGCTGACTGGAGATCCCATTTGCGTATCTATTTTGCGATGAATGCAACAGGACCGCCGTGGTGGGCGCGAAGTGCCTACTTATTAAGAACCCGCCTCCTCCTCCGTGACCTTCGAGGTTGGCTTGCGCGATTAACCCCCATTGCCCCGATCCCCTTCCCTCCCCCCCTTACTCTGCACATGACGGGGGGCGCTCGAGTTCCTAGGAAGACAGGCTTTATTTGCGGTTGACTGCTAGTCTAGGAAGGACGCCCGTCATCTTTGGCTGATGGCCGGAGTTGGAGCCCGATCCTTTCCCGGGCAGCCTGCGTGTCGGGTATGCAAGATTCGCCAGTGTGACGGGTGGGAAAGCGAGGTTGGTCGCGGTCGAGATTCACCACAGCCATGGCTAGCTCGGGCCAAGCAGGACGAGCGCTCGATGCTGTCGTATCGTCGTAGACCAAAGCTTGCCATGCCTCTCGTAGCGACGATGGCCAGTCAGGTATGTGGTGTCCATGTCGTGAAGCTTTCCCCTTTACATAGGCGCGAGAAGGTAGCGAGGGAGGGACTCTTGCATGGCGCGTGCGGCCGTGACTCGGTTGCTTTGGGTCGCTCCAGCAAGCTCAGCCGTGGCTCGGTGTCCAGGATTAGGCACGTAAGGGTCGTCGAGATGGACACACGCATACATTAAGCTAGGCAGTTGAAGGGAGACCGGGCTGGGTCGGGTTGGCTCGTGATGACCTGCGTGTAGGCGTGCATATACCTAGGCTGGGGTGTTCGATATGTGTGCGTCGCGTCGACTTTCTCTCTTGCGCATGGAGGTATGGATCTGCCATGTCAAGTCGATACCACGAATGCAGACAGCGTTAACACTTACACATACGGGCTCACGTAGGTGGTACTGCTAGCGAAAAAGCCTACAATAAGCGTGGTGGCCGGGTCCATTTCTGGGATGGATGGCATCGGCGAAAGCCTCGAATCCACTTCGTTTGCGGCGGTAAGGTGGTAGGCAGGCTATGGTGACGCCCCTAGCCGTATTGTCTTGGCTACAGGCCAAGTCCTATACCTATATACTGGTACTACCTACCCATATATACTGGTACACGCAACACACACATCTCGGAGGACACGACCCAGGCATCCCACGAAGGCGCCTAGGTAGGTAGGTAGGTAGTCAACCAACCGTCCACATCTACGCGCGTACACGTACATAGCAGCTCCTGGCTCCCCGGTCGGGCTAACAGATGACGGCAATGCGCAGAGAACGTCTACCATTCATCTGGTAGCTAGACCGGCCTGAAATGCTGCGGATGGATTCCCCAACGTGCCTACGTCCGTCTCCTTTGCACCTCGGCTTTGGATGGACGGGTACCTAGGATAGAATTCTGGTGGAGGGCTGCGGGATGTGCGAAGGTGTGTATGTATATGTATGTGTATGTATGTAGCCTGCACATATGCGCCTAATGCATGTATGGACATATATGTACGGACGCACATAATCAGGCAGGGCGAGGCAGGGTCTCTCTCTCCAGGCTAGGAGACATCCACCTTAGGAGGAGGAGGTGTACTCTACATACAGATACACATACACATACCTACGCATACACATACACACCTAACACGTACACTATCACGGCTTACGATTCGGACAGATAAGACTCAATAGAAAAGCTTGACTCTTATAGGTTCTCTAACGAAGCTAGAGCTAGAGCTAAGGCTAAAAGCTAAAGGCTCTATAGAAGCTTACAGAAGCTAGATAACTTATCGTCTTTACTAATCGTCTCTTATTATGATAAATATCCATCAAGCCTCAGCTAATTACTCCGAGATCATTTCTTTATTTAGTATAACTAGCTATAATATATGTAAGAATAATCCTATCATTCAAAATAACTATACTATATAAAAAGACATTCTATCAACTTTTACAGTTCTATTTATAAGTAGAATTATTAATATACTAATCTATATAAACGCGCCTTAAATAGAGCTAGCTTTTTAGAAAGAATACGCTATTACTATCTATATAATAGCTTATATATTAAAAAACAAATATTGATTAGGTTTGTAGATATAAGGTATATATATATTTTCTTATAAAGGTATCATAATATGTTACGTAGATCGGAAGAGCTACGTGAGCACTGAGGTTACTTCTAAGAGCAACAGAATATAGGAAGAAGAAAGTAAATTAACTGACTATCTAAGAAGAAAGAAAATGAATAAAGGAGATGTGAGCTGCCTATATTTACATAATAGAGAGCTGTGGGCTACGTTATATAAACAAGCTAGGTTAAGTATATGAGCGACTAAAGAAGAAGTAGAAAGCTATGTATAAGTAGCTCTCTATATGATATAATACTTATTAGTTAGAAAGATAAAGAAACCTCTCTAAGTACCATAACTATAACTAGTTAGGATAAATAAAAGCAATCAAGATAGCAAGTCTTTTGTAATTAAAATAGATTAATCAATAACTAACAAATGTATATAATAACAATAGTCTTACTATAATCTGTACTTAAAAGGAGTATTAAGGGTAAAAGAAAGAAAAGTGGAGAAAGGGAAAAAAGAAACAAAAATTCGATAGCAGTAGGGTTCGAACCTACGAGGCCGAAGCCATAGGATATTTAG